ATGGAAGACAATTTTCGAAATGTTTAAACTTTTTTGCAATGAAGAATTTGAAGCATGTCTCCAATTAAAAAATGAACTTCAATTTGTTCAAAAATACACAGTTGTGTCTAGAAATAAGTACTCAAAATGTTTAAGTAGCATTTGTTTAGTCCAAACCATGCTAAGTAAAGAGCATATATATAGTGAACATTTTGGAGTTCAATTTGCGAATTTTTTGTTATTTTTTTGAAAAGAAGAATTTATATTTGAAATTTGTTTCAGATTATAAAATGAGAGTCAATTTGTTCAAAAATACCCAGATATGTCAAGAAATAAGTATTCAAATTGTTTAAGAAGCAGTTGTTTAGTTTAAAACATTCTACATAGAGAGCATATATTTTTACCATAATGGAGGACACTTTGCGAATTTTTAAAAAAAAAATTGTAAAGAGGAATTCATTTGAAACTTGTTTCGGATTAAAATGTGAGCGTCAATTTGTTAAGAAATACTCAGATGTGTCAAGAAATAAGTACTCAAAATGTTAAAGAGTCATTTGTTTAGTACACACCATATCACTTTCCTATATGAACAGGAATTTCTCATTTTAACGCTTTAAAAGCAATTAGAAATATATGCATGCATACTTACATATTATACCACATTGCAGACCCCCTAATTTGAATATAATTGATATAGTACTCACGGAGTATAATTGATATAGTACTTCGGTATAGTACTCACGGAGTTTGAATATTATAGGTTTATATTTCGGAGAGATATGGGGCCATCTATATATGCAGTATATAAGCTACAATTTCTTCCTTTTAACACTATTTTATGCTTTTTGAAATTTATACATACATACTTAAATAGTGAGCCCCATTGCGTGGCTCCTAATTTGTCCATAATAATTTTATTTGGTATGCTATAATATGTTATCGGATCGAGTTTGAATATTGTGGGTTAATAGTAGGAGGCAATACGGAGCCATTTATATGTACAGCCTTTAAAGTGCCAGTCCCCTTTTTTTGAATAATTTTTTCCCGTATAATTTTTTCTTTAAATATTTCTAGTATAGTATCTTGTAATATAAAACCTGACCTAATTTGAATATTATAGGTTTACATTGCGGGGAGATATGGGCTATATATACAGGCAATTTCTTCCTTTTAACACTATTTTATGCTTTTTGAAATATATACATACCTACTTAAATAGTGTGCCACATTTCATGCCTCCTAATTTGTCTATAATAATTTATTTTGTATGGTACTATAATATGTTATAAGATATTTTGACTGAGACAGATACCTGACTGAGTTCGAATATTATAGGTTAATAGTAAAGAGAAGAGATATGAGACCATGTATATATACAGTTCATGAGCATCAATATCTCCATTTTAACGCTTTAAAACGCAATTCGAAATATTAACATACATGCTGAAATATTGTGCCACTTGGTGGGCTCCCTAATTTGTCTATACTTTTCTTAGGTATGGCACTATAGCATATTATAATATAATACTTGACAGAGTCTGAATATTATGGAATATTAGGGAGAGATGTAGGGCCATCTATATATGCAGTATATAAGCAACGATTTCTTTATTTTTACGTTATTTTACGCACTTTGAAGTTTATACGTTAAATATTGTGCAAGAGGAACATTGAAATATTAAAAAATGGATGAATATGACAACCGAAGCTGACGTCTTCAGGGGGTTTCAGCTCCAGAAGTCATAAAAGTAAAATCTTTTCTATCGAGAGAGCACGACAAAAATTGCTCTCTTTGTACCCCAAAAGGTTTTGCCAACGTTCAGGAAAAGAATATAATACATAATATAAAATACATAAAGCAAATACAGAAGAATAAAAAAAAAGACAAATACATAAGAATAGTACGTACAAAAGCTCACGTACAGCTTGAAGACGTCAGCTTCGGTTGTCATATTTATCCATTTTTTTATATTTCAATGTTTCTCTTGTTTCAATTCCTTTCAGATTCACTGCTGCTTTGCGCGTTTTTCCATAGGAAGCTTTTATTTTTAATAGCTTTTAAAATTGTGAATTATTTTCTTAATTAAATATTGTGCCACACTCTGGGCCCCTTAATTTTTCTATAATAATTTCCTTTGTCATGGTAGTATAGTATGTTATAATATAACACCTGGTCGAGTTTGAACGCTTTAGGTTAATATTAAGGACACTTAGTGAATTTTTTCTAATTTTTTGTAATGAGGAATTCATTCGAAACTTGTTTAAAATTAAAAAGTGAGCTCCAATTCATTCAAAAATTTTAATAGTACATTAACCAAAACATGCTACATTAAGTGCATATATGTTTAACAGAATGGTGGACACTTTGCGAATTTTTAAAAAATTTTTGCAATGAGGAATTCAAATGAAATTTTTTTCAAATTAGAAAACTGAGCGTCAATTCGTTAAAAAATACCCATATATGTCAAGAAATAAGTACTCAAATTTTTAAGGAGCCATTTGTTTAGTCTAAATCATATGCTACATTAATCGCATATATGTTTAACATAATGGAGGACACTTTGCGAATTTTTAAAATTTCATTCAGGGGAATTTCTTTAAAAGTCATTTAGGATTATTAGTTTTTAAATTTGGTTGCATTGCAACTCAGTTAACGGTAGGAATATTACCTTTTGTCAACAAAAATTAAATTTTTTGACTTTGACATAACTTCAAAAATTCCTCAAAAGTACATTGTAACCCCAAAAGTGCAATGAAAATGCATTAAGAAATTAGTCACGAATATTTAGTCAATAATCGTTTGCTCAAAAAATTGTGTTATTTTTTTTTTTTTTAATTCTGCGAAGTCATTATTTTTTAAGGAATAGGATACGTCCAAGAACGTTTTTGGATTGCATATTATTTTACATCTACATAGTTTGTAAGTTCTGTTAAATTTCAAAGTTAATTTTAACTTATTTCTAATCTAGAATATTTGATTCACTTATTTTCGTCCTCCGCTGACGAAACATTTATCCTACCATTAAGCATCAACCTAAACATTACCAAGTAACCGAAATAGTTAAATCGAAAATTCTACGATGCGACAAGAGCCCCGAAGGTGCGTTATCATAACAAATTCGATTCTGATGATTTCAGGCGCATGTTGATGAGGGCACGGGTTCACGAATAGTTTGCAATCGCGGAAGGAAGCGGGAAAGATACGACTTATAAAAAAGTTTTGTGATACAGAATCAGCAAGATATTTTATTTCCATTTCCGAAAAAGAACATGAAAAATGGCGCATTTCCACTCGAGGCTATTTGCGTAGATTTATTGATTTCCGATTTTGCTGAATAACAAGTTCCCGTAAAGAGAATATTGAATAAGAAATATTCTACATACAAGATATTTTATTCTTTTCTCGCCTCGGTACGTTATTTGAGAGTTTAAGAACTAGAAAAGAGCGTTCGGAACTCCAATTAGTGATTTTTTTCCCGCTCGTCAGCAAAACTTTGAGAAGAAAAAGAAACGAAAATTGCGATTATTAATAAGGAAAATATATTTTTTCTCAAAGGTTTTAAAGAATAATGTGTCTTACAATTTTTTTATACAGAGCGTTTTTCAATAACTTAAACTTGTCATAAATTTTTTTTTCTCTTAATGATATCAGAATCTAATATAATTTTTTTTTATCTACATCTAATTTAAATTGAGCTTTTGGATTTTTATACACAAAGGAAAAAAATATTTATTAGTATCTGCTCTACAATTATTAATGTAATTTGTTTTAAAAAATTTAAAAGTACCCAAGTGTTATTCATATTCGTAATTATAAATGTCCTTTATATAGATAGACTCTTCGAATTAGATAGTTGTACGCAAAATAGTGAACATACGCTTAGTACTAAGATTTTTTTAAAATTGAAAGTATACAGGATATTCCCTTATAACCATGCCGCAATAAAAATTTGCATTTCATAAATCAAATTTTTTTATTTAAATAAACACAAACGTTATCAAAATCTGAAGAATTATTATCAAGCTCAATAAAGTTAAAATGGAAACAAAATCTTTGAAAATCTGATTACTTATCGAATAAATCCAAAAGGCAACTCCTTACGCTTTTCCATACTAATTTAATGGTTTTCAGAGATTTTAGTTCCTTTTTGTTTAAATTGACATCGATAACGATTCTTTAAAAGTGATAACGTTTTATACATTTAAATGCACATTGAGAGTTTGAACGTACCGGTTTTTATGACATGATTTTGTTCAGGGATTCCAAATATTTACATTAAGGAAGGTGATTAAGGAACACCCCATATACCTCATTAGGGCAAAACGAAATCCTCTTACCCGTTCACAACGTCTCAGAAAATGTAAGCGTTTATTTGGTTTTTCGTAAAATTAAGGCCATCAAATTTATCGCAGTTTCTGTGCAATGATATAGATTGTGAGTAGCCCCATTTATTTTTATTTGTAAGTATGATTTGAGGGTATCTTTTCCTTTCTGTTTTTTGGGTTAGAATCGTTTCGAGCTAAATAAAGCAGGGATTTCTTCATGCTGTAGCATAATAACACATGAAGCAACGTACGTCACTAAATCCATTATAATTGTGTTAATAGTGTTTCGTACAATGTTTCCTACATCATTATAATTTCTAACACCGTTCAGTTTTATTGTTTGAACAACCTATTTTCGTAATCGTTTTACCATGAGTTTGGCGCAGTATAGCCTCATCTGACTCTTTGCGCTCATTTCCTTTTATGAATCAAGTATGTTTTTAAACTTATATTTATCTGGCATTTGAGGGGTCTTGCAGATGCCCTCAATGCCTTCCAATAAGTCTACAATTTCCGTGTATGAAGACATGAATCAGAACCACGCTGTTTCTTCTTTAAATCGCCACCTAATAAGCAAATAAAAAAGATACAAAGTACATTACGCAAAAGTTGCTTTAAATGTTTAATGAGCTTCAAACTGCCACTAGTATCTTAAGTAAACAATCGGAATCGAAGGTAGCATTTAAGAATAAGAAATGATAAGAAAATTATCATATTTAACAATGATTTTTCCTTGCCTCCTGCCGCTCTTCAAGAACAAATAACATTACTTAATATTAAGTGTTCTCCAAGGTTGAAATGATAAAAATTCGCTGCTGGTTTCTGTCCAAAACTCATCAGGGACAAATCATGTTACTTTGTAACACGTGACCATCGATGACGAGATAATGAGAAAAAATCATCTGTCTGAAGAAGCCAGCATTACTTCTTTAATCCAGAAGTAGTTATTACTTGCCAGTTACCGCTAGCAGTTAATATATTGGATTCTGATTTTTAAACATGAAAAGTGTAGTTTTAGCTTACAGTGGAGGATTGGACACTTCCTGTATTTTGGTATGGCTAATTCAGCAAGGTTACGATGTTATTGCTTTTATGGTAAGTTAATTTAGTTATGCTTTTTGTTAGGAACCTGGAAACACCAACACTGTAAAAAAAAAGGATTCTGCTTCCTTCGTGTTGACTTACGGAATGAAGTGTCATATCGAAGCAATTACTTTACTTACTAAATAGTTAATTAATATCTTTTTTATTTTATTCATTTAATATTTTTTAACATTTCACTTATTTTCGCTTAATTTTATTCAAATTAATAACACTGGGGGCCAATTTTTTTTTATAGTTGCATGAGATTTTTTTACCAGATCTTAGATGCCTTCGTGTAACTGATTTCAAATCTGCTATCTGTTTATCACGCCAAGATACAATTTTTTTTTTAAAATAACATTTTTATTCTGTTTTTTGTTAAAATATATTAGTTTAAAAACGCTATTTAACAGGGGCTTGCTTAAATGTTGCTACTAACTTCTAGGAGAGTTCGGGCTCATTATCAGGTTAAAATTGCATAGAATTCCACGCCCGAAAATATCATAAAAATATAAAATTATACGCAGCTAGGTGTTCTTCCTTATTATGAACTGTTTCTTCGTGTGCTTCTGAACAGATCATAACAGTTGTAATTGTTGTAGTTAATTTACGTCACACTAGAGCTGCACAATGGGCTATTGGCGACGGTCTAAGAAACATCCCTGAGGATGATCCGAAGACAAGCCATCACAATTTTGATCATCTGCAGAGGAGATGGCACCCCCGCTTCGGTTGCCTAACGACCTGCACGCGAAGTCGAGCGCTTTACGGTAGAACAGTTTAACGAGGACCCATACCGCACACCCTCGGTCCTTATGCAGACTGATCCAAGTGGTCTCCCACCCGCGCACTGACCGCAGCCAGAGATGCTTAACTTCGGTGATCTTCTGGGAACCGTGTCTTAACGATCAGTCCACTGCGGGACAACAGATCATAATAAAGAAGCGACCCTAGCCGCGTATAATGTCATTTCCGGGCATTAGCTCCTAAGTAATTTTAATCCTGATAATGTGCCCTAACTCTCCTGGAAGTTAATCGCAATATTTCTCGACCTTATGTAATATATTGCGTTTTTAAAGTTGTATATTTTGACAAAAATAGACTTCAAATGTCATTTAAAAATCTGTAGTTTTAGGAGCAAAATCTCTCACACCCAGGATAGGCAAGATCAAGTATTTATATGAATGCAACTAAAAATTTGCTCCCTTGAGTCATTCATTTTTTTATTACTTATTTCTAATTCTTATTCAAATTTATTAGATTTTGAAGTTTTTTTAAAACTCACAACCTTAAGAGTTGATAACTAAGTTCAAACATATAGACAACTAATATTAGTTAGTTATTTAATAACTAAGGGAATTACGTTCATGTGTTATTCTCCCTAAGTTAAAGTGAAGGAAGCAGAATATCTTTTTGAAAAGGATCCTAAAATGTGAAAAAACTCAAAATGTTGCATTAAAAATACAGTAAACCCCGCTATAGTGAACCTTCTAGGGATCGAAATTTCGGTTCAACATAACCGGCAGTTCACTATATCCGTTACTCAGGCAATTTAACTAAAGGTTCCCAAACTCCTCCCTTTTATTACACATTATTCAAATAAATGACTGAAAAATATTATGTAGTAGCAAAAAATGTGTTTATTTTCATTACTCTTCGTCTTGCGTACGAAATTTTTTTTTAATCTTTAGCTGATGAGCACTCCTGAACATCAGATATGGAAATACTTCCCGACTCTCAGATAATTTTTCCTGAATTTCTGTTATTCCGTTTTCTAAACCTGTCTAGCCTGCCATTCGAGCACATAAAAGTAGTCTCATGAAATTGCTCAGCAAATTCATCGACATTTGTCCAGATACTGGAAGATTGCGGCTTCTTCGATTGGTAATGTTCAATAAAGAACCACATCAACATCATAAACAACGACATGATTGTGGCAATGTAGTCAGTATTACGGAGTTGCCCAATTTACTTCCCAGTTATTGCTCCTCAATCTAAAACTGAGTGGGCTTCTAGAGGGGGATAAAACAAAGGGGAAATGACAGCTTATAGACTTAATTACGTATCTCTATGTATTAATTAGCATGGGTTTTTTCTTCCTTTTAAATAAGGTTACTAAATATGTATATTTATTAGGAAAGAAGGTCCTAATAAATATACATATTCAGGAACAGTCATCATGTATTTTAAGTTAATTCTGTATTTTTAAATTCTGTATCAAAACAAAATACAGTAAAAAGGCTGTTTATATTGTAAATGGCATGTAAATGTAGCTAGCATGTTCCATTCATCATTAGTTCATACCTTTGTCGGCATATTGTGAAACTTGATAACGGTTTATCTTGAGTGGGGGCATTCAACTTTTTCTTATTGGAGGCACACAATGGTTTGGTGAAGTGCACTTCTACGCGTAACTGTTAAGTAAGTAGTGAAAATGTTAAGGACAGAAAAAATTTTTAGATAACACGCTGTATTTAGTTTTAAAGAAATTAAGTTATGCTTAAACTGTTTCAATATGGAATTTGTAGAGAAGGAAAAAAATATTTTATTTTACTTTTGTTTTGTTTGCATAAAAAAGAATCTGAAAAATATTTTTTTAAATTGTTTCATATCTCTAATTCATTTAATATGTTTAAAAGGATCAAAACACTCATCAATAAGTGGAGATTAAAACACGGTGGAAAACATTTTTTTATTTTATTATACCGCAACTAAAGTCTAAAAAAAAATCTTAAACAATTATTTTGACAAATTGGTAATTTTGACAAAGTGAAAATAACAATCGAGACAGTTAAAATGAGTCACAATGAGAAATGCAGTTTAAAAAAAAGCAGCATCGCTATGTTATTATTTTAAATTAAAAAAATTCCCTTACAATCCAAAAAGAAAAAAAATTTAAAAATCCTACAATCTTGTACTGTTTAAAAACAAAACTAGGTGTGAAAAGATTTTGATGCTCAGTAGCAAGAAAAAGATATATGATTGTAAAATACTTCATAAATATTTTATTTCCTTGCATAATTTTATTAAATAAAGTCATATTTTTTGTGGTATAATCAGTGTATTTTGTGGATTGGCGTTTGTGAAAATAATATTACTGATGCTAACAAGAGTTAAAATTTTTTTCTTCTATTTATTACTAATATCCTATCAATAGGTACGATATATTTCTATGATGTTTAATGTTTAGACCATCTACTATTTCGTAATTATTTCAGAAAAAAGGACAATTAAACTTTTTTTTTTGGCACTTTTGAAATTTTTTATAAGGTGTACGTACATATGCTTCAAATGTTGTAATTGACATGATGGAAACTTTGTACAATTTGAATTGTAAATGAGTGTTAATCGAGTCTATAATATGTTGTACTTTTTATATTTTTTGAAACCCAAAATTGGAGATTAATACTGAATGCATAGTTTTATTATGCAAACTACGAAGACATGAAATATCGAAATCTTCCTTTTTGCAAATTTTTTTTTCTTTTAAACAACTCCAGAGCAGCGAACTGAAAGAGATCAAATGGGTAGAAACTTAACCCCTTAACGATCGGTTGATTTTCAAGAAAACAGTCATAAGAGTGCCTATTTTGCCAAATACACGTGTTTGATTAGTGCTGACATCTAGTTTAAAATAAACTAACTATATACAACAATTAGCTTAAAAATATCCTGGTACTGCCTGCCATCTGGTGTGTAAAATGAGAAATGAAATTTTTTTCGGGCAAAAGAAATGAATTAGTTTTATTCTTATTGGCGCGTTACTACTGAACACTCCAGCCCGAAAATTTCACGGGAGCGAGAAATAGAGGGCGAAACCTCACCCCGTCATTTTAAAGGGAGCGAGAAGAAAAGGATTAAACACTGCAGTCTAGACAAGTCAGATATTGTCCCCAATGTATTTTCTTACTCTGAATTAAATGAGACCAAAACCAAGTCAATAGGACTAATGGCGCCTTAATTACGATATAAATGTTCCAAAACCATTTATGTTATTCCATATCCTTTTCCCCTTTTCGCTAATACTCAGGTTATTCAAACAAGTGTTTCTTTCTTTTTTTCTTTTACAGTTTTTTCAGTGTCGGATTTTATGTATAATCACCCTGCATATCGGTTGTTTGATTTGATTATTTGTTGATTTGCCTGTCTCAACTCGCGGTACCTTAATGGTAAAAACGCAAAAGTTTTAGAATTATTTAAATACATATTAGACCACATGCTAGTAACAGGAAATCAATTACAATGAGTCTTGTATGTATTAATTTTTTTTATTTGTTTCGCCTTTATATTTCGTCTTCAAGTAATAATTCCTTTGAGAATAGTAATTGCTAATTTTAAAATTTTATAAACTTAGAATCCATCAGAAGAAAAGGTGGTTGCAAATTATTTAATAACCTGAACAATTTCATTGATTAATGATAATAATAATGAAGGTAATTAATTACACAAAGAAACAAATCTTTAATAAAAAATTTTTGTTGTATTTATGTTTATATTTGATATTTCCTTTTTCGGGTGGGGGAATTTCAAATCTGTAATTAGTTTTACTCTTAGAGCTAAAGATTTTGTTTAAAATGACATTTTTATTCCATTTTTGGTCGAAATGCACAAGTTTAAAAAAGCTATAAATAGCAGGGGGTAGCGTAAATGTTGCTTAAAATTACTAGGGGATTTAAGGGATTATTAGAGATCGCCTATGCAGTAGGATTAAAACTGCATAGAAACCGATGCTCAGAAATGTTGTCGTGCACGTCTAGGGGTGCTTCCATACTATGTCCTGTTCAGAAGCACACGGAGAAACAATTCATAATAGTGAGGCGCCGCTAGCGGCGTATGACGACATTGCCTGCCAAGATTTTAATTGCAGAGGTACCTCTGCAATTAAAATCTTGATGATGGGTCCTAATTTTTCAAAAGTTTGACGCAACATTTATGCTATCCCCTGCTATATATAGCATTTTTAAACTTGTAAATTTCTACAAAAAATTGAGTAAAAATGTCATTTGAAAAATACTGTAGATTGGCGAGAGAAATCTATTGCAGATTTGAAATGACTGACACGAAAGTATCTTAGATTTGTTAAAAAATATCATGCAACAGAAAAAAAATATCCCCCAGTGTTATAATCGCATCACAATATACGTAACTACATAGATATCATGTACAATTATATCATAAATTCAATCAAATAATCATAACATTAACTAATAAACATTAATATCAAACAATCATAATTATTATTCGACCATGTGTACTAGGATTGCATCCATTAAAAATAATGTTAAAATTTTTCCTATAATTAATTTAAAAATATTTAAAGATGAAAAGAGTTTTTTTTTGTACATTATATAGTCGCACTATTATCTTGCTGGCACTAACATACATTATATACTCATAATCCTAATGAATATCAGAGTATAACTATAAATTTTTGATGTGTGAATAGTTTTTCCATGTAAATTGCTTTTTTTTTTTAAAAAAAAAAGAAAGTTTGTTTACTTATAATGCTATATTTTACAGGCGGATGTAGGACAAGAAGAAGATTTCGAAGTGGCACGCAAGAAAGCTACTAAACTGGGTGCAAAAAAGGTAAAATTGTTAGAAATTTAACTTCAAAAATATTTCCTGAGTTTTGTTGTGTTTATTTTATTGTGTTCTCATGTAAATTTATTTTATTAAAGATTAAAAAATATATATATCTTTCCAGATACGAAGAATGAAACGCTTGACACTTTTACCTAATTACACGAACGTAACAAAAAAGTTCAAAAATCGAAATTCGAGTAGTCTAAATTGAATTCGCGAATTAGCAATGTCTCAATCACTATTTTCTCACTAAACAAGACATAGATAAAGAATTTTTTCCCCGTTTTTTTGCTTACGACTTTAAAAAGTATAACTATTAACAAGATATTCGTAACAATATTATTTTTTTTTGAAGTACATCACTGCTATTGTAATTAGCTCTCTTGTCATCGATTGAACTGATGGAATCGTTGTAGTCTTGTTCTTAGTTGGAAATATCGGAAGCTTCTTAATTTTTTACTTACATTTTTTTAATTCTATATATCCCGAATAGTCAATTAAACATTCGGTACTTCCCGTGGATTATGAATGATACGTTTTGATTGTTATAAGCTGCTAAAAACAAAGATTTAACGAATCATTATTCCAGGTGTATATTGAAGATTTGCAAGAAGAGTTTGTAACTGATTTCATCTGGCCTTCTGTTCAAGCCAGTGCAATATATGAGAGACGCTATCTTCTGGGTACTTCTTTGGCTCGTCCATGCATAGCCAAGGCTTTAGTTGCAGTTGCAGCTAAAGAAAACGCTGATTACATATCCCACGGAGCGACTGGAAAGGGAAACGATCAAGTCCGGTTCGAATTATCTTGCTATGCTTTGAATCCAAAACTAAAAGTAAGGCAGGGATTCATTTTTCTAACATTTGGTTCTTAATACTCTTTACTTGTCTTTTTAAATTTTATATTAAATATATAATTTTCGTTTTCTTAATTTCTTTCACTAATGCAAATTTTTGATTCTAGAACAACATTTAACAGCGTTATAAAACTAAAACTGAATAGCGTGGCAGCCCACTGTGCCCATCCCAGTTATCTTGACCTCGGCTTCTGGGGTACAAAACAGGTGTTCCGGTTGAGTGGTGTGGTCAGCCGAACGCGGAACTCCTTATACTTATAAGCATGCTTGGCACTCATTTTATGGACGAACTGAGAGAATGAAAGTTTAAGTCGACCTAACCCGGGTCGAAAATAGAAACCGAGACCTGAGGCAGGAAGCTCTACCACACAGCCACCAACCGCTTTGTGCCTTTCAAAAAAGTGAAGGAGAAAAACGAGGTTACATTATTAGATTAGCAGGAATTGATAATTTTAAGAACTTTTTTGATTTTTTTTTATCAAAAAGTAAAATAATAAAAAGATGCAATTAATTATATTTTGGATAAATTGTTTAATGCTATACATGCCATTTTTAGAGTTTTTCAAAATTATATTTTTGTTTAAATTGACAAAATTCGATATTGAAAATGCTAAAGATAATTTTTTTAACGTAACGTAAGTAAAAATAAACATCTTTGTAAAAAATCTGAAAACAGATATATGTATGATAATAATTAACTACCTTTTAAAAAAATGCTAATTACAAGATTTTATCAGTATAATTTTATCAGAAAAAAAAATGCATAGCGAATCTAAAATTCCACGTGCTTTGTTTTTAAAATTCTAACTGGGGATCGATCAGACTTGTATTTTATATGTTTCAAAAGATATTGCCAAATAAAATAAATATTTAACATCGATTTACGTATGAAAATTAAATAAAGAGGATTTAAAAATTTTTCCTCAGCGTTTTAGGCAGTTGAGTTCGGTCAAAACGAAATAAATGCCTTTTAAGAGTTTAATCTATATTTCTTTTTTGATTATTATATTTAAATGAGGTGCTTAAGTTTAAGTGCTGTCTTTTAATTTATTTCCTTCAGGTAATTGCACCTTGGAGATTAAAAGAGTTCTATGAGCGTTTTCCTGGAAGGCCTGAGCTTATTGAATTCGCTAAAGTAAGTTCTCTAAACAAATTACTATTACTTTTCTGTAACATATTAAAATTCTAAGAATAGTTTTAGTGGAAAATTCGGAAATATATTTCAGTTTGTTTCATTTCACCAGTGTAATGATATTTTACAATATAACAAGAAAAAACTAGAATTTTAATGCTTGTGAAAATAAAAGCAACAAAACTTTCAAACAAACATCAAAACATTATTAATAGTGCTAAAGATTTTGTTCAAAATGACATTTNCTACCAGAAAGACTGTTTGCTGATGGAGTAAACATCACTTCTTCGCTCTCACTCAACTAAGAATGTTCAAATAAAAGTTACTCTGATTTAATTAAATCCTGTGTCTGTTTTCCTGCTCGGTCCGACTGCATCATTTTACATATATATATAGTAATGCTAAAGTGTTATATTACGAGATTCAACACGGACATTTCTATGGGATAAGTCAAACGGAAAAATACATTGAGTTAAAGTTGAATATATGTTTAAATTTTTTTCTTCTATATTGATGTCTTTATGGAAATACAGAAATATTTTTTAGGAAAATAATATTCCAGTTCCTGTTACCAAATCTGAACCTTGGAGTATGGATGCTAATTTAAGGCACATTAGGTGAGTTAAATACTTAATTTATCTGAAACGAACACCTAAACTTACCGAAAGTTAAGTCCGGTTTAACGCTACAATTATCCCCTAAATCTAACAATTGATGCTATTCTGACTCAATATCAATGTCAGGCAAATTTTTATCATAAGTAAAATCTGTCTCTGACAGTATGATTATAAAATTATATTAAATTCTCTTTCCTTTTAAAACTTGCGATGATTTTGGACTCAACACTTTTAAATATGAACTTTTTTTCATTACTTGAAAAATAAAACAGTTAGAAAAAATTTATTTTCACATCAATTAGAACGCGAATAAGACAGGATCGTCCTCCTCCTTCGTACTGAACTTCCAGTGATGCTGAAATTTTTGAAGCTTTTTCCTTCAAGATGATATATCCGTTTTTTCCCCCCAACTTCAAAGCGATTCATATCAAAACTTATTTAATTTAATCGAATGATGTTCAACACGAATATATTTTAGTCACTTCACCTTAATACTTTTTTCAGAATAGTTTCAGATTTTATTTTACAGTTTTTTTCTTTATAAAATCTCAAGGAATAAAAAATGTAAAAATTTTAATGAAAGGTATAGCAATAGCTTGGCGCAAATCATTAATTATTCGTCAATAGTCAAGGAAATTCACTTTTAATTTTTTAGTTCCTTTTTTATTTTATTTAAGTTTAATGTGAATGTCCATTTTGCTCTGAGTCTAAAAAAAATAAATAAAATTTTTAAAAACATTGTACAAAAATTATAAGGAAATAAAAGCTTGTGGAGTTCCACATTTTTAGCAAAGTTTGGCTTGTGCTTGGCAAATCGGAAAGTATCATTTTAATTTATAATTTTATGAAACTTTTTTAAACATTAATAGCAAAATATATTGAAGAAATATCAACACCCCAGTTCGTTGATGTTCCCCAACCCCCGAATATTGTCATGCAATCTTATATGGTTTGCTGTGCTCGCTTTGCTTGCTACTAAGTTAAACCCATTTGAAATGTGTTCTATAAAATCTTAAGAATTTAAATCAATTATTAAAATATTTAAAGCAAATTCCTCTTTACAAAAATAAAAATTTTCATTCAATAATAAGTTATTGAAATTAAAAATTTTAAATGGAATAAATGGCACTCAAAGAAATATATATATATATATATATACTCATTTTTCAATGAACAGCAATAAAAGTGAATAAAACTATTATTATTGAACCAGTATAAGATAATTAAAATATATAATATGGAACACTTTGTTTTTTGCTATGAGCTACTTGCTTTCAACAATTCAATTCTTTCCAACTTATAACTCAGTTTCTTTAAGCTTTTCTTTGACCTAGCTAGAAAAAAAATTTCGCTCAAACATTTGTTAACAAGTATGTTTACGCTTTCATGCTTGTGACAGTTTACACTCTTGATATTTTAATTCTTTGTTGCCTACTTAAAAAAGATGTGAGGACTTTTTTGTCGCCGTGTAAGAGAAAAATATATCAAGATAAGCTAAAGAATTTTAATTTTGAAGCATAATATTTTCAATTAGATCAATAATTAAAATATTAGTTTTTTTAGAGTTTAAAAAAATTTAAAAATAACTCATAGAACTTTTGTGAACACTTTTTACATATTTTTGTGTAAAAAGTGGTGTGACCATGAAAAAAAATTCAAAACATTGCATGTATGTCCAAATTATGGAAAGCGTATACTTAGTGCTTTGTAGGAATAAAGTAAAACAACATAAATAAAGCACAAATAAAGGTACAAACATGTAGCTACTATAGTTTCAATGCTATAAACAGGAACCTTCCTCGATGTTAAAACTGAAATTGACATTAGAAGAATAATGATTATTATAATTGTGCTTAGACACCGAAGGCTCTTGTTTGTAGAGCCAAAACTATAGTATGTCCACATCTGTACCTTTATTTGCACTTTATTTATGTTGTTTTACTTTATTAAATGTATGCATACTTAAAGTTTTCAAAATTGATATGTCAAAACTCAAACTGGAGATTGAAAAGTGACGGTCATAATAATTGTGTTTAGACACTGAAGAAGGCTGGTTTGTTGAGCCGAAACTAGTATGTCCTTATCTGTAAACTTTATTTGCACTTTACTCATGTTGCTTTACTTTATTAAACGTATGCATACTTAAAGTTTTCAAAAATGATATGTCAAAACTCAAGCTGGAGATAGAAAAATGAAGTCATAATAATTGTGTTTAGACACTGAAGAAGGCTTGTTTGTTGAGCCTAAATTAGTACGTCCATATCTGTAAACTTTATTTGCACTTTATTCATGTTATTTTACTTTATTTAATACATGAATGCTTAAAGTTTATAAAATGTTGTACCATGGAAAAACAGCTTTAAAGTATTAGAATGAGTTTACTCGTGAAAGTTTACGTGAGGGTAAGTACAGATTCATTTGATTTGACTATCTATACTATAGATAGTATAGATATTATAGATCTATACTATAGATAGTATAGATCTATAGTATAGATATTGTCTGTAGGTTCTATAAACAATAAATATAATATATTTCTATATATCATGTTTTTTTTTTGACTAAATATCTTTCTGAAATCCCCACTGATTCTAAAGTCTTTTAATATTTTGCCAGAGTTATTTCCGTGTGCTTTTTACACAATCGCCCATAATCATTACTAAAAAACAAGTTTATTATTAATATTATAATATTTCATAAACACTGTAACGTATTTTTGATTTTCTTAGTTATGAATCAGGTATTCTAGAAGATCCATGGAATCCACCTCCAGTTGGTTTATATAAAATGACTGTTGACCCAGAAAAAAGTGTAGACGAAGCAACAGTTCTGGATATAGAATTTAAAGAAGGTATTAGATTTTCGTGTTAAAAAAAAAATGTGAAACTCTTTACTTCATAACTCAATAACACTTTAAATAGTGAAAAAACGACATTACATTTTGCCTTCTAGCAAGCACTAATCGTTAGTTTATAAAACCAATTGCTAATTACATAAAAACGTAGGATCGAAAATTGCAAGTATTTTCTGATGATCTGGACTTTTGATAGTTTATCCATCTATTTTTCATGTAATTTTGCAAATTCCAATATTTTTAATACCATGTTAATAGGGCACGCGAATTAATTTTGAATTAGAGTTATCACTTTTTTACTCTCTAAATTAACAACGATTCCATCGTGAATCCTCATCGTTTTCCGATCATTTTTTCGATATTTATTAATAATTTGTTAATTTTTTTTAGCAATTTCCACTTAATTTTTCAAACTTCGGTATTTTTATTACAATGATATTGCGACACCCGAAATTTCAAATTTGAGTAATCACTTTTTTATGAGCTTTATATCATTTTTCAACCATTATTTTAACAGCTTTTTCACGTAGTTTTTCAAATAAGGATATTTTTAATATGATGTTATTAAGTTACAAATTTAAGTAATCATTCTTTGACGCGATCAATTCGCGATTAAGCTGTCATAAATCAACGTCATTTTCTAATCGCTTTCTCGGCAGTTGTTACTGTTAGTAGTTTAGTAACAGTTACCAGTTGTTAAAGTCAGCTGTGGCCCCGCAATTTGCACACTCTTTATTTTAAAACGATATTTTAAATATTATATTATTCCTACATAAGTATTCGGAATCACGCACTTGAGTACTTAAGCTTTCATACGAATATAATTATTTAATATTTACCATTCAGTGATCGTTTGATTGAAATAAATCACACAGCAATGGTTGTCATCAATGCATTGCCAAACCAGTTTAAAAAATGCTTGTTGGCACAGTGATTTTTCTAGTAGTTTTTTTAGCTCTAGCGCAAACTTTGCCACTTATTTTGAAAAATGAACTTATTCCTTCATTTTAATTTCAAACATTGCCGGCCAGGTGGCCGAGTGGTTAGCGTGCCTGACTGCGAAGTCAATGGCTGTGAGTTCGAATCCCACTCTGAACATGGATGTTTCTCTCCGTCTGTGTTGTCTTCTGATGTAAGAATGTGGCCCACCCTATGAACGGGTATTTGTGGCAGTGTGGCGTGGGTAATATTGCTCGCCTCCGTGACTTTGATTCACAGGTGCCCACTGGGTAACGATAAATGAGCAACACTTCCGGCACCTTCTAAGGCGAGGAACGAAAGTTCAGTGCCTGCCGTTATTAAAAAAAAAATAATAATAATTCAATCATTTTCATTCCTTCAATTCTTGACTTTATAGGTATTCCAACCAAAGTGACGAATTTAAAAACAAATGATGTAAAAACTTCTGCTCTGGAGTTGTATTCATACTTAAATAAAATTGGGTAAGTAAAACATATTACTTACTTCTCTTATATTTAACAATATTTCAGTTTTAAATCTGAACACATTAGATAAAAGTCGACAATTTCTCTTCTGCGTAGTGTGATCCGAATTATTTAATTACATTTTTCTCACCATCGACAATTTGAAGTTTCTCTATTTGTCTAATGTTACATTTTTTAAAAACTTAATCGCAAGTGGCCCGGTTGGTAGGGCACTGGGCCCATGTCCAAGAGGTCATGGGTTCGATCTCCACCGGCCTGAGACTCCCCGTGTAGTAAATGGTAACTGGTGCACGTTAGATCTGTCGAGTTACAAAGTCTCCCATATTCAAATAACAAATCAAACCTCTGGGGGTACTGATCCAGGGGTTTCCTTGTCTTTTGGAATGGTTCAAAATTACAAGGCTACGGAGTTGAACATTAGTAGTCGTAAACCCTTGCACCCAACTATAAGTTTCACTTAAAATTAAAATAACACTATTATTCTAAAGCAATTTTTACAGTCAAAACTTTTCTCATAGTACAACACTTACTAGGTTTAAAACTCAGAATGGAAACAGCATGGTCACAGCACCAGTTTCAGCATGGAAAATAAATTCTTAACAGACAAAATTTCAAAAATTAATAAGTGATAAATACAAATAATTAATGTTTGTTGATTTGACTTAAATTAATTAGTTTATTAATGGAAAATTAAGATAGATTCTTCAAAAAACATGGTCAAAATGAAAGAGCAAATCTAGCATATAAAATCATACAAAAATATGGAGTCGCACTAGAGAAAAAAAAGTATGGTTAAGACTATAATGCTTAAAATAAACGTGTTTCTGACTCCATAGAAAGTTGGAAGAGCTTTGGAAATAATTTTAATAAAATTAACAATAAAATATGGTTTTATAATTTGCTATCAAAATTTGGCAATTGTGGTACCTTTATCATGTCGTCAAATCATTTTGTCAAATTTGGAGATTTAATTATGATACCATAGAGAGTGGTATGAAAATCACTAATTCGGTTAAATTTACTTTTCAGAATTGTTTTACTAAATGAGTGGTAATAAGAGCTATGTTCTTGAAAAACAGTAATTTTACTAGAATTGTTCTCCGTGCGCAAATTATATATACAAGAATAATTAACAAAACTCTTATTCATTATTTTATTTATACAGTATTTACGCACATGTTCAACATTTACGACCTATACAACTACATTAAATGCTTCAAAGTATTGCCAAACGCCTGGAAACCCACATCGTATTGACGCTACATGGAATGGCAAACATTCTTTAATATACAAATGTTTAATTTAAATGTTCACCGTTTTCTACTCCATGTTTTTTTGTCCGCCTTCATTCTTTCTCCCTTTTATTTTGGCCAATTTTTTTTTCATTTTCTTAAGAACACTGACTTATTTAAAATAAAAATAATTAAATTGTGCTTTATAAAGTATTTTTTCTTTAGCTATACTTATAAATACACTCATAATTATACAGTTATATTTATGAATATACAAATATAAAAACACGGAAGAAATTTTACAGACGAATTATCGAATCTATGAGACAGTAAGTTTATGGTAAGTGTAGACCTCTTGGAAAATTTTTATGCAGCAAACGTTATTTTAACATACAGAATTGCTTATAAGACTTACGTTTTATAAAAATGCAAAAGCACTGAATTCTGCATTCTCTAGATTTAGATTAAAATTTATGATACAATGAAATGAATACAATTTTATGAATAAAATATCATGTTTATAATATTTTATTAGGGGTCTGCATGGCATTGGTAGAATAGACATAGTTGAAAATAGATTTATTGGAATGAAATCAAGAGGTAAAAATAAAATTTTAATTCTTTAGTTCAATTTCAGTTTAGTTAATGAAAAATTAAAAAAAAATCATTCAAATTTTAATTTTTCCTTATTCTTATGTGCTTTAGAAACGTTACAGAATTTATGCAGGTTTTTCCGAGTAATGACCACCTTTAATATATGCTTTTAGTTCCCACGTCTGATAGGAAGTAAAAGATTAGGGTTCCGCAAACTCTTATTTATGTGGATATGAAAGACATTTTAAACTCTTATACTTCTAAATTAAAATTAAAATTAGTAAGTGCAAAAAGGGATTCAAATAAAACTAAACCATTTTACTTCAGGATGGAGAAAAAGGCGTCTAATAGCAAACTACAAATACAATTCAGTCTCCCTGCACTAATAAATTGAATTTTGATAATTTCAGACTCATCTTAGCTCTCCTCGCATCAATAATAGTTGATCATTGCTGAAAAACTTATTTTTTCCACTTATAATAATTCAATTTGAAGCCACTAAGACACATAGTTTTTTTCTTAATTTTCGAAGGATTCTAAAATAATACGTTCAAGGTTGGTCATTATACAACACCCGGTATTTAATTTACATTTTAATTCTTTATATTATGTACAAGTAACAACAGATTACTATTGTAAATTAAAAGATGTTTTTTGTTCAATATCACTGTTTCAAACTACTTAGCGAATCATATCATAATTCCGCCTACGTATTTTTATTAAATTATGATTTCTTTGTGAATAAAACTTTAGTTTTTTTTATTTACTACGAGTAACACAGTTAATTAAACTGATTAAACTATACTAATTATTATACTAATTATAACACACAAATTTATTTTTGTTTTCTATTGCATTGGATTTTGTACGGATTTTGGATATTTTTTAGTTACTGATTTTAATTCTGTAATCAGTTTCTCATTCCAAGCTACATTTTTTTGAAGAAAATTTTTAGTCTATTTTTTAATGAAATGAAGGAGTTTAAAAACTTTATAGATAGAAGAGTGTCGCATAAATATAGCGACAAATTTCAAGGAGAATTAGGGGACGTTATCGGGATTAAAACTAAATAAAAACCCATGTCTGGAAACGTCGTCATACGCCACTAGGGGTGGTTTCCTGTAATGAACTATCTTTTTGTGGTTTTGAGTAGGTCATAATAGGGAAGTGCCCCTAGCCGTGTACGATGGCATTTCCGGGCATGGGTTCCTATGCAATTTTAGCCCTGATGATGTGTCCTAATTACCTTGGAAGCTTGTCGCAACATTTACCTACCTCCCAGTGTTATATGTAGCGTTTTTAAACTTGTACATTTCGACAAAAAATAGACTAAAAAAGTCAATTTAAAAAATTTTGTCGCTTTAGGAACAAAACTAATTTCAAAATTGAAATTCCCGCACTCGAATTAAGCAAGATCAAGTATTTGCATGAATGCAATTATAAATTTGTTCCACTGTGTAATCAACAATATGCATTTACTATAATTTACTATAGTGCAGATACAATTTGTTTAAGTGTAATCAACAGTAAGTATTTACCAATATTATTTACTATTATGTCATTAAAAAAATTTATCGAATTTCGTTCCGGTTTTTTGGTTTTCCGGTTTTCTGATTTCCGGATAACGGGTTCTGTACTGTAGTATAATTTACTATTATTGCAACAAATTTATTTGCTTTGTAGTAAAATCGAATGGAAACAAATTACATTTTTTCTATTGCTTTACTCATTTCTTTAAGCATAAAACTTTTATCGTATGAATGATTGAACGGAAACAATTTTTTTTACAATTATATTTCAAAATACATCTTTGTTTCTTAACTTTTGTTCAGAAACTAATTTTGCACTAAAATACTTAGACTAAATTAAACGTTTAAAATATTAATTATTCGGAAAATAATAACGATATTAAAACTACTATTCATGGTTTCCCTTCTCATAAAAATATGAATCTAACCTTTGTTAATAAATATCTTAAAACTTTATAGTAAAACCTCTGAAAGCGAAAGGTCGTTATCAAAATATGATCCATAATGAAAACTCACTGGTCAATGAAATGGGCAATAAAAACGTCCTTTCTAAATCTCTGGGGAAAATTTACTGCGTAATTTACAACTTCATCAAAAAAAGGCGAAATGAAAGTGGCATATAAATTTGATGTCATACTTTAAAATATATTTTACGCATTTTTCTAGAGAATCTTTGCGCAAACGGGATTCAATATTTTATAAACTGCATTTATTATCACAAAACTTTCAAAAATTTAGGAATATACAGACTTATAAACTAATGTAAGCTTACATTTCGTTTCCCTTAATACGCAATCGTAGTTAAATTATTTAGTTTAAATAAGTATTTATTATTGCTCCATGTACACAATAACTTTTAAGATAATATTTTAATAAACAAAATGTTAAATAAGAAAATGCTGATTATATAGTAAACGAAAATGATAATAATATGATATTAAGAGACAAAAAAAAAATGGCCTTATCTGTCATATATTGTTTACTTAAGGTGCATATTAAAATTCAAATAAGCTCTATTTTTCTCTTAAGTATATTTAAAAAACACGTTTTAATGTAATTAGAGCATTAATTACAAGTAATTAGATCCTTGTTTAATATAAAAGAATGCAATTATTTTTATAACCAACGAAATAGCTTGCATTAGACAACTTTTGCTTTGCTCATTTTTTATTCATTTATTTTTTTTGCTTTATTTACTCATAAATTCCTGATTTCAAACGGAGACATACTGCATTCCATTCAAAAAATGCATCTTGAAAGAGCATATTTTATAAAGTCGGATTTTAATTGATTAAAAAATTTCATTGGCTTAAAATTTGTCTATGGAAATAAAAGTCGACAAGTTTTAAACGCTCAAAAATAGACGCCCATTCTTAAGACTTGTCAGACGTAAATGTGATGAAACAAAAATGATTTGAAATATAAAACGTGCAATTGCCAACGAAAATGGAAATTAAAAGCGAAAAAACAACGCTATAAAAACCTCAATAACTGAAAGTGAAACAAAAATAACGATGGAAAAACAGAATAAGAAAAACCACCGGGGCCGAGAGGAGCAAATCAGGGCAAAATACACTTTCAAGCGAGATGGAAAAGTTGTGTGGAACTAATGCCGTTAGCATGGAAATCAGCATTCATATGAATGGAACAAGATTCTAGGACATTGAGATGAGCTGATGTGATTTGGGTTAGTATAATTTTGGTATTGTCGAAATAGAATTTATGCCAAAGATTTCAAGAATCTGTACTCTGATTTAGGATTTCGTTTATTTAATTAAATTTACTTAACAATCCAGTGTCTTCCGTTATTTCTCACAAATGATGCAGTTCTCAGTAAAAATGCTTATTTACAGACGGATTTTAGAATATTGTTGCATTAGGAGGCTAAGCCCCCTGTTTACTGTCACTCTCTAACTTCGATGATTACTTCGCTATAATAGTTGTTTCTTGGCGTAAAACAGTTTTCTCTTCAAAATTTGAAACTGTTTCCTCATTCTTTTCTTCTGCTTCCATTCTCCACGTCTAAACATTTGTTTTATGATTCTATTAATATCTATTTGTGAACATAAATAATTTGCTCCGTAATCATCCATTAAAATAACATTTTAAATTAAATGCATGGAATAAATTAAGACAAATTTGGCGAGTATACAACCATTTTTTTTTTTTACAGAACAGGCTGATATATTAAGAGCAATTTGCGCATGCGTCACATTGTGCATGAAGCTGATCGTTAAGTTCTTAATCATTTAACGAATTTCTCTAACTGTAATTTATAATAGCATGTTAACGAAATTTTGGCCAAAAATTTATTATTGTAAATTGATTAATATGTTTAGACACTGATTACGTTATAATAAGGAAACTCTTTTAGTTTTAAACCTTTAATTTAGAAAACGAACGTAATTGTAGAATGAGAAAAAATTGCAAGTAATTTTTATAGATTAGGGATAAAAGAATATTTCATAGGAAAACAATATCTTTATGCTTTTATCAATTTTATTCTGATTAAAAGCAAAAAAAAATGGAAATTAATGAGGGAAAATTGTGTGTATCTACCATGTGATTTTTCGGCCAATAAAAATGCACCGACAGCAATAGAACACAGTGTTAGACAGTTATCTTCTTATGATATATAGATATATCTTAACTTTATCATAAAAAATATTTGTAAATAACACACAATATGCATTATGTGTTACATTTTTGGTATTTTTCTTATCAATATCATATGTTAAGGAATAATTATCGTATTGAAATTGAGCTTGACATTATTTGGTGGTGGGAAAATTGCTGAATCATTTAAAGAAATCATGCCCAATTGGATACACTTGCACTTCAAGAAGACGAAGATCAGGGATGCCCACACATGTGACCTATGGCAACAGCAGCTGATCACTGATTAGCAAAATGGCGTGCTTAAGTTGAGTTAAGTTTCTCCACATAAGTTCAGTTAATTAAATACAGCATTGCATCGCACATCAAAATTGCTGAAATATAATTCTTTCTCGTCTACATCCTTTACTTAACTTAGATTTAATATTTGTTTACATATTTTATTGTAACCGTGATATATTTTTGTTTTGCAACTTCGATATTAGTCTGTATATGTTCTACATGGCTCCGTGCTTGTCTTTGTGTTAAGTAAGAAATCTATAGCGAAAGAATATAGAATACGTCACTTAAGAGAATTTGATACTTGACGGGCTTGGCTTACTCGAAATAGAATGAAAAGAACAGTTGCAAACGTAAACAAATGCCACGTTTCAACAGCCAATCAGGATCGAGATACCCACACTACATCACTTGCGGATATCTCATTGTTATTTTTACTCACGTCTTATAATTTTTGGCTTATTGTGCATTAAATAAAAGTGTGTATAGTTTTTAGCGATTTGTATAATGAAACTAACCTTTGATGATAAATTTTCTGCTTTTATTGTAAATACTATGCTTAGTTTATTGTGTCTTATTAAACCTCTGCTTTTAACATAATGTAATTGTAATTTTCAGGATGTTATGAAACTCCTGGGGGAGCAATTCTTCATGTTGCTCATGAAGATATTGAAGTATTCACGTTAGATAGGGTAAGAAATAATTTTAACGATCACTAATAAAAATATTCCTTTCACCTAAGATAAAAATAATTTCCTAAAACTAAAGTGATGATAAATTTGAGCATTTTTTATCCTTCCAAATAACTGTTTTATCAAATAACTGTTTCTATTCAATAACTTTTTTTATTCAGCAAATCTCTTATCAAAATATTATTTGAGTTAGAACCAATCGAGTTTTCAAATGCATAGGCTTAACAAAGAAAAATAATAATCTCGACATGAAAAGAAGCTCACTGTTAGACTTTCAGTTAGTAATATTTAATTATGGACATTGGATGTAATGATATATTTTATTTTAATTATACAAAAAAATTTTAAATTAAAACTAGTGTTAATTGAGTCTTAAAATAAGTTTTATCTTTTAAATAGAAAAGGCGTCATTTAAAAATTATTTTTGACATAGCGTTTTGTATGATATCGTATTTTCGTAGCAAAATTTGCACATTTAAAAAATAAAATAACTTAATTACATTTTTAAATAGTTAAGCAATTTATAAACTTTTTTTCCGCATTTTTCTTTCTTTTCGTCGCATTTGTTTCTCTGCATTTTGTATAATTCAGCGGAAAAACAACTTTTACAGTCTTAAATCATATACTGCCATCTATTGTCGATAATCGAAAACTTTATTAATTTCTTTCTTTTCTTTGAACTATATTTCTCGTCACTTTACTCTATTTTCAATTTAAAATCAAATATTTTTTTCAAAATTCTATACTTTTCAGACTATACTGTTAGACTTAAAATAAATAAAAAATAGGGCACCTGCCTTTCGAACGAAATTGGATGCCAGCGATAATTTTTGGTGGGGATAAAAGTTTATAACCTAAGTACTAACCTATATTTTTCGATGTAAAGCTAAGATTTTGTGATAAAATCTTTTCCTTTTAGTTTTGAGAAAACAATTTTTTTCTCTTTTTTAACCTACTAGAAAAATGTTTTAAAAAAGAATTTTACAACTGTTAGTTTGCCTACGTTGAAAAAGCGTTCTTAGGTCAAAATCAATTTCCGATAAAATATCGACTTAAATTCTTGTTGTAAAGATTAAAAAAGCAATTGAAACATGTATTTTTTATCCAATAGAAATCTTTAATTCAAATTTGAGCACTCTTGACTAGTAGAGAAGTGGTCAAGATTTGGATTGATGGTAAACTCTTTTTCATGATAATATCATAATAAATTTTACTAGTAGCGGTCAGAAATTTAACTTATTATCATCAAACACGAAGATTTCAATTAGATTTGAACTCTTTTGTTTCTTTGAAAGCTGTTGGAATTTTGAGTAACAGTTTTATTCTATTTCATGACCAAATGAAGCTAAATTCTACTTTTAGTAACAGATCAAAACTTGCATTGTCGTCTGATACAATATATCAGAAACTACAGTAAAAATTTGAGTGTTCTAAATAGCAGGAAAAAAAATCGAAATTTAAATTACAATATTCCACCCTTACAGAAAATGACTTAATAAAAAAGTTAAAAATATAAGTAATAATGTAGAATAAAAAGTACAAATCTTAAATTGAAATCAGAATACAAATATTATATGGTATTTAATAGAAAATGGAGAAAAAATAATATTCTTTTCTTCGCAGCGTTAAAAAACGAGAGATAAAATAGGGAATGAAGAAAAAAAATAAACTTTGTTAAGTAATTTATTCAAAATTCATTTCAAAAACGTAATTAAGTTTAGTTGCTTAAAGATACATATAGTGCAAAAAAAAACTTTCCATTTTTGCTTAGAAATAATCTTTTATATTTGTCGGCACTTTTAATTACGAGACAGACTTGTTATCGGTGTTTTTAGTTTTTATTTAACAAAATTAGTGTTTTTTTTTTCGATACAAGCATAAGCTCCAGGAGTCTTATTATTTTTTACGACTAAAATATGCTATTTCCAAAGGTTTCAGATTTTTATAATTGAGATTCAGCAGCAATTAGTGAAAAATTTTACAAATTCCACACCATCAGCTTTTTTATAACATATTTTTGAGACAAATGTTGTGAAAAGTTTAGTCAGCTAAAATTCACGTAGTTCACATCACACCTTTCCTCAACACTGTACTCAAAATACCCAATTCCCAGGACACGTTTAAGTCAATTTATTTCAATAAAAAAATATTGCTGATTTTGAAAATGAACGTTATATCAGGATGCAATAAAAATTCTCATTATACACGTTTTTTAAAATAAAATTGCTATGTACTATAACATTCCTATTTTCCTAATAGTTGTTCTTAATGTTAAAGAATACAAATCTAAACAAAAAGTTGTAAAAAAGTCGTAGGCTGGAATTTGTCTAAAAATAAAAGAAAATCATACAAATTGTAGTAGCATACACCCTTTCGCGAAAATATCTGGAAAATTTGTTTCTCTCAAGCGTGAAAGTTGTATTTGTTTCTTTGCAAACTACATGTTTACGCAGTAAAACAACTTTTACAGAGTAAAGTCTTACACTGCCATCTAGTTTCAGTATCTAGAAACTCTATTTACTGATTTATTAATGTTAAACTTTCCATTTTACTAACTTTATGTATTTACTCAATTATTTTCAGCATTAAAAAAATATCATTAAAAATTAATAATAATAATATTATTATTTCACTTTAATTAAAATCAGAATTCAAATCATTATTTTATCATTTACAAAATAGAATAATTAAATTACGTCACTATTCAGTACGAATAATTATGAAGTGTTAACAACAGAAGGAATAGATTTATAAAATTATACCTTTTTTTCACTTACTGCTTAATTAGAGCAATAGCAATTGTAAAGTGAGAGAAAACCAAATATATCATACTAACAACTAGACTAAGCGATATACATTTCGTCTTTAATAATTAATTACGAAACATAACAGCCGTTTAAGCTATTAATTCTAGTTTAAGTTAATAAAACTATAAAAAGTTACAAAGAATTTAATTTATGAAAAATTTAAGTTTAGAATAAGATTAAATTTTTTTTTTCAGTAGTAAATTTAAACAGAGTCTTCTACTAATGCTTCTTGAGTTCCAACAGTATTATTTATAAGATATTGTTCACAAAAGATATTCAGCCTTATTCATAATTTTCCTGGTGTATTTATTTATAGATATCGTTAACAAATAACATTTTCAGCCTTCACTACTTATTCATTTTTTATTATGCTATATTTACTAATAGATATTGTTTACAAATAACTTATTAATCATCCTTATTAAGTACTTATTCACAATCTATTCTAATCCTGTGCTAAGTGAATCGAATTACAAATTTTCTTAGAACATTAAACAGTGAAAGCAGTGTTTTCTATTTGTCATAAATTTGTCACATGATTGATCTTTATAGTTTTCGTTTCTTCACAGGCATGCGCAATAATTATGTCTAATTGACTGCAATAATTGTTATTTAATTTTTATGTAATGTAATGAAACTTAAATAAAAATGAATTTGTGATTTTCTAAAAAAAAATTAAAATAAAAATAATGAATAAATTGGCATATTAAAAAAAAATGATATAATACAACATGAAAATAATAGATACATTTTATAAACTGACTTCTAATTTTAAACGTAACCTATTATTCACTTTGGATTTGTTTCTAACGTTGCAGGAAGTTCTCAGAGTAAAAACAAACCTATCGGATACGTTTGCTGATCAAATTTATAACGGTAGGTAATGCATTTATAGCTTTTCTTTCCATAAATAAAATTATTTCTAAGCTTTTACATTCACCAATAGGATTATGGTACAGCCCTGAAGGTGAATTTGTGCAAGCTTGCTTGAAACTAAGCCAGAAACAAGTAAACGGCACAGTCAGGGTAAAAGTATACAAAGGAAGTGTTAGCATAGTTGCGAGGAAATCACCCACTTCTACCTATAATCAAGACTTATGCAGGTAAAATAACAACAATTTGTATTTTCTACCACTATTAGTCAGTTCTAAGACCATAACATAGATCTAAACTTTAAGCTATGACAACAATTAATTCAGAGTAAAAATATTATAGTTAAGTTATAATTCTGTCTCGTCCCAAGAACTAACATAAATTATTGTAAAATAATTATAATTTATAAATATCTTAATCTTACCTTTATAATAATAATTTAAAAATACCTTAAAAATATTTTTTCCCCTTCAATTTCGGACATTCATAATGCTGATTGAGTCAATGTAGTACCCAAAATAAATGAATAAATATTTTTTTTTTTAAAAAATAGTATCTAGATGTGTACAAATAAAACTAAGAGTATGAAGTTTAAATTGGACGGATACTAGCTAAGTTATATAACGTGAAATATTTAATTAAAAAAAAACAATTTAATGTTCTCATTCATGCTCAAAAAGTAATAAATGAAGCCTCGCTATTATTTTAATAGAAAATAAATTAAAGTAATCGATTAAGATTAAAATAGTGCTCGACTTCGCGAGCAAGACGCCGGGCTTCCAAAGCGGAAGAGTCATCTCCTCTACAGATCAAAATTGTAATGCCATGTCTTTGGATCTTCCTCAGGGATGTTTCCCTGCCTGTCGCCAATAGCCCATTGCAGCTCCAGTGCGGCGTAAATAAAGTACACACCTAAGATTAAATTAAAACTTTAAATTTTAGCCATCCTTAAAGTAATTTTTCAAGTAATTTCTTAAGTTTTTTTTATGAAATACTTCTTAAGAATATGCAGTTAAATATAAGGATGTCTAAATCATGTTCCGTATATAAAAAATTGCTACCAACCCAATTATAGATACTCCCTGTCCCAAGGAAGGTGACGGTATCCTTCATTGGACCAATGATACTTATTTTCATTTTTCCAGTATCTATTTTACTTTTTGAACATTTATGCCTAGAATGGAAGGTAATAATTGTAGTAACGTGTACAAAACTGTAAAATTGTCAGATTTGACGTGAAAATTAAGTAGCATAACTATAACAATTTTCCCCTTTATAAAGCAGAGAGATTATGGAACATCTTATAATTAGAAAGCTGCACTTATTTCGAGAAATATAAATATTTTTGTTCTTAACTCTTTTTATTATACCAGAAATATAAATAGCAGCCCTCGTAATTACACATAATTGATTTAACTGAACATTTAGTATCTGACCTATAAATGAACCAAATCCTAGGTGATCATTCGAAACAACTTTCACCAGCAATTAAATATGTTAAGTTTTTAATCAATAGAAATCAAATTAACCAAATGAATCAAAATTTTCAAACAAATATGTTGTTTGCTTTCATCAATTGATTCATCCATCAGATTTTGATATAATATTTGATTTTTCCTCATTTAAATAATTGCTTGCTTCATCTAATGTTTAAAGTGCACTAAGAAAAAGAAGGAAAAAAGAAACACCCTGTGTGCAAATAGTTTTCGATTCAGTTTTAAAAATTCTCGAGATATGACGAAATAAGCAAAAATTAAAGGATCCTGCTATTAAAAATATCGTCTGCTTTAGTTAATTAGCATATTTGAGGTCACCCCTTTAAACCCTTAAGATTGTATCCTAGTCAAGTGATGATTCGATCACTAGATCAAAAGTTATTTAGAGTACCTCGTTTTTTGTGCATTGCTAATAATTTTAACTTCATTTTTGACACGGATTCTACAAATATACATATATTAAGGACAGTTAAATTTATAATTTTTATTTCCAGTTTGGACATCCTAGGAGGTTACTCTCCTTATGATGCAGAAGGATTTATAAAAACACAAGCAATGAGGTAAACAAACTTTTCTTAAATACGCAAAATAATATTATTTGATTGATACACTGAATTCATAATTTTGAACTAATTCTTAATTTCCTTCAATCAATTTTATACATAATCATAATTTCTTTTTTTTTCAGATTAAAAGAATATTTTAGAATAAAGCCCAAACCATAGACAATTATTGAACTAGAATTGTCAACACTCAAAAGTGGTGTCATCTAAAGGAATTGCGATGTTCAAAGACGAAAAATGCTCAGTTCGCAAAGAGAAGAGCACTAATAAAATGTATAATGTAATAAAAATATATTTGTACTTTATTAAAATAAAGGTGAATATTATAAAACCTTCGTTTAAAACCAATTGCAAAAGTTATTAGGATTCATTAATAACAAGAAAGGGTAGAATAAAGTATTTTTACTCTTTTTTTTATTGATGCTGAGTGCTTTCTGCCTAATAACAATCAAGTTAAACTAAGCTTAAAAGCAACAAGCATCACTTACACATTTTAAAATGCATTCAATAAAAAAAAAATCTTGTTTACTACTGGGCTCCGCCCCCTACTCGCTAACGCTTACCAACCCTCAAAGATTACTATGCGATCCTATATGATTCGTTTTCCAAACCAAGCTTGCGACTAAGTTACAATAATACTTTTTGTAATTAAATAGTTATTTTAATATAACAGTTTTCAGAAAAAAGTTACTTGAGTTGGTGTTTAACTGATTGCTCTATTTGAATAAATAAAAGAAATACTGAAAGTACTTATTAAAAAGTTTTATTTAATATTTACAGTAAATTGGTGAATAGCTTTTCCTTAACTGACTGTTTAAGTAGTGAAACATATAAATCAACTTGAAAACATAAAAACAAAGTATGTACATTTTACAGAGTCTTAGATAAAAAATATAGATAGTTAAGTCATAAGTGGCACGATTGTTCAATGCAGTAGAAAAAATAACGTTATTTAACGCAAATTGCTTTAAAAAAATCTATTTACATTAGCACTTTTCTGTTTTTTCATTCACAGACCTAAGAAAAGTTGAATAATCAGAAAAATTATTTAAAATTTTGAATGGAAATTAAATTAATAGCCTGTAATATTGGCATGTATAAACATTAAATAATGCCATAGGAAAATTAAAAATCTTAAAATAGGCATTTTAGATCCTACTTTTCCAGTAATTACTAAGATATTACTTAGAAAGTCAAATTTATTTATGGGTGCTAATGACAATTATTTATTTATTTTTTTTTTAATTTTTGAGTACAAGTTCCAAGTAACTTTGACACATAAAATGTCTATTTAAAAACCAGTTATGATTTTTAATAAATATTACATATTATGATTTAAATTTTTAGTGAATAATTAAATCTTATATATATATTTAAAATTTATATCTTTATATTTTTTTTCTTTATGTTTTTATCTTTTTTTAATACTTGCAAAAAATTAAAAAAGTTTTTTCTGAAAAAATAACTAATAAAAAAACAAGATTCATCACAGAGATACCAAAAAACTAATCAATTTTTCAGTAATTAATAGAACTGTTTACTTCTGTGTAGACATAATTGCTACACATTGAAGATGTTACTGAGTAAAATATTCAGTAAGAGAATTAAATAAATTGGCAAATTGTTTTTATTATATATTGTTTGAAGTCTTAAAACACTTAGAACTTTTAAAACAAAATATTTAAAGACAAGTGCTGTGACATATAAAAATTACAAGTAGAGATTCTTTTGAATAAAAAAAACTAAAAATCATACATTGTAATAACTTCACATAAAGGAATTCCAATTTAGAGAAGAAATATTTATGAGCAAACTAACTTACTAAGAAATGTACAGAGCTACATTATATAAGAATACATAAAACATAATTTTACTTATAATTGTTGGGTATTCTGTAGTTCTCCACCTTCTAGATAATAATATGAAGAACATAAATTGCAAAAAAAAACATAACTTGCATAAAAAAAAATATTTTTTCTTTAAACTAATATCAATAATTTAAAAAAAAAAGGACTGTTGCATCAAAATATCAAAAATATTAGTTTGTATGTGAAGACTTATTTAACTTTCAACAAGTTTTTAACTTTAGAAGTTAAAAACATTTCTTCATAAATAAAATCAAGTTTTAGCAAGGTGTTATAAAATGCATTTTTTCTTTTTTTTTTGTTGAAAATATGCATTTATTTTAACAAAGGTAAATAAACTCATTACATTTGTATTTTCATTTTATTTTTTATTTATTTATTAAAAAAAATCATTGAATTGAATTATTGCAGCTTTTTCATAATTTTTTTCGTACGGCCCTTTCGAATTTTTTTAAAAAAAATTTGTATTGCTACTTTAATTTTATATAAGAACTCAAAAAACTAAAAATGTTAACATAAATTACAAAAAAAGAATTAGGTTATGCATATTGTATTTAAATGAAGTAGGTGGAAAAGAGATATAACGTGTGGAAGAAAAACAATAGTAAAAGATATGAAAATTAAGATATTAACTAAAATGAAATTTATGAATTTGAGAATAACATTTTACTCAAAAGTGAATGAAAAATGAAGATCAGTTAATACATTTCTTACATTCTTTCTCTTTCAATAAAATTTATTACTAGATAACAATAAAAGATTAATAAGTATATATAACAATATATACTTATTAATCTTCTTAGCTATGCTAAAGAAAAGGGATTATGCAGCAAAAATGAAGAATAAAAATTAAGAAAACTTAAAATTAAGAACTGAAAAGTCTAAAATATTAAAACCACAAAATTTTTGAACATACATAAATCTATATTCGTTTTTATTTAAACAACTTTAACTTTACCATTATTAAAACAATTATAAAGTTAAAAAGAAATTAGACAAATATCACAAATTATTGGCGCAAGAGAAAAAGAGATGATGAAAGTAAAAAAAACAACAGTATTTTGGTTATACATCTGTTATTGATGCAGTTCAATAAAATAACTTCATACACACATACATATATAACACATATAATCTTTAAGATTATACATCAGATACCTTTTAAAAATGTTGCTGTTTTCACCATAACACAACATGACTAACATATAAAATGAAACATAAATTAAGATTAAATATATTTACAGTCAATACAATCAAAATAATGTTTTTTATCTGTCACTACAATATATAAAAATATTTATTTTTTGTTTCCACAAGATGTGAAAAAATTTAAGTCTTTTGATAAAACATATCAACACAAATTATTTTTACTAGAATTTAAAATATAATTGAAAACTTTTGAACACTTCCTACACTTAAGTATATTAAATATTTTGAATACAAACAATAGATTTTAGACAGATAACAACATAAAACAACAAAGTGAAAAGGCATAAATGCTGTTAACAACTGATTAATAAATTTTACAATTTTCTATGTACCTTAATTTCATACATAACTGACTTTTTATATTTATTCTCTCATCTTATAATGTTTACAAGCTATTTATAATAGCAGAATATCACATATTATTCCTTAACAAGCTCCTGATTTTAAATAATATTATTTACAACACAAAAAATTAATGCAATAGCTAGGTTTGACTTCTCCGAATAAAGAAATTTTTCATTTTTAGTTCTGGCACAATTTTAGTTGATATTTATGTAAAATAACATTCTGAATCAGATAATAATCCACATTTTGCTCACTTGCCAAGTGTGTGTGTGTTCTTTTTTTTTATTTTTAGAAAGGCCTTCATGGCCATGAAATTGATTTAGAATAGAGGAAAGAATTAACTCATTAATTTAAAAATAAGAATATAATCTATCATAACTGACATACAGTGAATCTCCAACATTTTCTTAGTTGGTAATTGTGATATTTTCCACCTCATATGCTTTTAGTCAAAATTGTGGCTATATAATTTTATCATTCTCAGGTGTTTGGGGAAAAAAAGGTGTAGGGGACTATGAACTAAAATATGTAGAAAATGAGAAAAAATTGAAAATAATAATTTTTCACATAATTTTTCAACAGGTTGCAGACTTTGCTTTAGTTTCCCTTGTTGCATGTTTTAGAACTTTTTACCTACCTGAACCCACAGAAGAAATTTAACAGTTAAATCAAATCTTTCTCCAAATACAAATCATATTCACAGCCATAAATTTAATGAAAAGTGATAAACATATGGGGGTCTCTAGAAAATTGCGGTCATATAAGGTTTCAGAAGGGCATTTTACATAAGAATCAGCAAGAATGGCGATGGGGTTGATTTTCCTACAAAACAGTTATTTAGAAGATACTGAAACAAGAAGGTTCCTTTCACAAAATTTGACACAATGCAGCTTAGAATCAATAAAATGAGTATCCACTAACTTCACAGAACCTTCTTCAGAACTAAAAAAAGACAAAATAAAACTAATTATTTCCGATGCATAAAATGCCATTTAAACTTAAACAACAAATAGTAGAAAGATAAAATTAAAAAAAATCATTTCTTAAATTAAACCTTAACAAAATTAATACTCCAGATAAACTCAGAATTAAACGCTTTCAAGTTTTTAATATTTTAAAAAACATGGTATAGTTAAGTAGTAAAGTTTCAAAGTTAAATTTTAAAAAAGTGAGTGAACATTTTTTAACAGAAATAAATAACAACTGAATCACAAAAAATTATTTAAAAAGGATTAAGTTACTAAAAAGCACTGTGATAACTAACGGAAGAATGAATATGAAATGAAAGGAAATGAAATTTGTATATTACAAGTCTAAAACCTTTTAGTTTTAGTACTAACCATGATTATTTCAGATTAATGTTTAAACATTATGCATTGTTAACTTTGTTCTTCTTACAAGAATGGCTAACATAAATTAATTGAGACAATGTTAAAATGGGGCTAAACTTTTAATATATAAGAACTTGGCAGCCCACTTCCAGTGGATCCTCTAACAAGTCAATGTCAAAGGGAATGAAGTCACCTGTCAAGGGGCTCTTCTGAGACAGAAACATCACATTATTTCATAAGGATTATTTCATGATGGGGAAGAATACAGACAGGCATGGTAGAGAGTGCTTGAGGGATAACCTACATTGTGAGGGAAACAGACCAATTCAAATGGTTCCTCTCAACTCTTCAGAGAGTATTTAAAATGTGTGACTTTTGAATCTGGAAAAAAGGTCTTCTCACTTTGTATCTGAGAAATCGGAGGATATCCTGGATTGTTTGGGTTTTGTTCAGGAGATCATCTGATTACAACCTTTTTTGGTGCTTGATTTTACCAGAGTATCCAAACTCATTGATCAGATCACCAAATTAAGAAGAATTGGCAACAACAGAAATAATGAAATTCTTCTTACACAATTTTCTAACACCAGTACTTAAAAATCCTAAAGAGGATTATTAAGTACTGGTGTTAAAATATATTTTATCATAGTGTTTCATAATTTTTTTCACAGTGTTTTATTATTTTTAATAGTGCTTAATTAATTTGGTTCAGAATGATTACATAACTATAAATAACTTAAATATTTCCAAATGTAGTAAATATAATGCAACTGAGCCCTTTTGTAACACATTTTTATAAAATGAACTTTATTAGAATTTATTTCTCATTATTCAGAGTATGAATGACTCATTGAAAATTATTTGGAGCCATCTAAATTTGAAAAAGGTATGTTTTCTGGGAGTTGCAATAATTCTTAAGTATGAGCAGATGATTTATTTTTAAAGTAAACTATTAAAAATTTGGAAGTTTTTTTTTCTCATACGGCCTTCTGTAGGCATAACAAAATTGAGAAAATTCTTCATTAGATATTTTTGCAATATTTAAATTAACAGTTTTCCAAAAAAGATTGCATTCATAAATGACAAACCAATGTTTTAGAAAGTATAAAATTGCTTTAAAATAAAATAGTTATAACACAAATAATTAAATTAAAAAGAAAATGGAAGTTCTACATAAAAGATACATACTTATTTTTGTCAACAGTTTTATCAGGAGTTCCTTCAACAGTACCATGGAGAGCATCCCAAACTTTTAAATACTTATCACAGCCTCCAGTTGCTAGCAGTGTGCCATTTCTGTTATAACTCATGCTTAATATCCGGCCAATATGAGGTTTGAATTCTTTCATTGCTAGACCAGAACTTAAATCCCAAATCTTAACCAAACCATTATCATCTAGAAAGAAAAATATGTCATAAAAATTTTTATAAATTTTGTTAGATTATAATAAAATAAGTTCAACATAAATGTTGACATTCATAGTGTGGATGGAAAAGGATAGAGTAATAATGCTAATGAAGTTCATAAGTAGGGAGTAGTTTGTACAGAAGTAGTTAGTACTGCATGAACAGTAAAATACATCATTTAAATGAACTTGTCAAGGAATATTACATACAAGGAATTAAAACAAAAATAGTTAGAAATTAATAAAAGTAACAAAATAGAAATCTTGATAAAAAATCTATTGCGTCATGGATCAGATTTAACATGATTCCTAAAGTAAATATATCAGTTACATGAATAAACAATCAGTCAAAATTACACAAAATGAAATAACAAAAATAAAAATATGGTAAACTAAAAATATTTTCAATATAATTTACTTAATGAATAAAATTTTACAAGTAATCATTAAAATAACCAAGTTTTAAATATCATTATACCAAATACAAAATTTATCATTGGTAAAAACAATAAAATTTTGCTACCTTATTAAAAATAACAGATAAGCACACTCGACTGAACTAAACATCCATATTAACACGAATGGGGAAAAAAAAACTAAGCAAATTAAACTATACGTTATTATAATGTAAATTTAATTCTATAAGTTTTATACCAATAAATAAATTTATTATTATATTACATATTAGCAAGCAGCAGTTAAAAATAAATTGCAACAGTTTCAAAGATAGTCTATAGTAGTAGCTCACTACAGTGACGTGTAGTAACCTTTTCTTCAAAATTGCACCTTTTTAGTTGCAAATGGTAGCTCGGTCATAACCTTAACTGAATAGGAAAATTTTTTCTAAGGAATATCAAAGAACTTTTGAAAATGTGTTTCATGTTTTTAAAAAAATAATTGTCAGCAAAAATAATGTATATTGTTTAAATAATAAAAGTATGGTATTTATTACCAGCTGATGCTAAGTGTTTTCCATTTGGTGAGAAAACTATTGAGCTAATAAATGCTTCATGGCCAACAAAACTTCGCACAGTTCGAGCATCTTGTGTAGTCCAAAGTCGAAGAGTCTTATCAGTTGAAGCGGTAGCAATGTATTTTGAATTTGGATGAAATGTGATACACTATAAAGTAATTATATAGTTACAGTTAATTTCTTAAAATTTGACTAATCTTAGAACAACAGTTATAAAAGCTTTCAAAATCAGTAAGAAAATTAAACCTATTGACTAGCAGAATTTGTATTGATTACTAGAATTGTATATAGAAATAAAAACTAAGAAGTAAGTTTTCTTTTTTACAGCAACAAAAATTATTCAATAACGAAACAAACTTAATTGATTTTTTTTTTCCTTTTCTACCCTCAGAAAAATTTTTTATTATTTTTAAGAAGAAATCTAGTTAATCATTGTAAGAATAAGAGAAAAATTTCCAGAAACGGTTAGGGAAAATTTTCTAAAATTTTTTTATTTTAAAACACTTCAGAGCAATTGGAGTAAATTGCAGAAGTTTTGAAATAGAGCAACAGAAATGACACCACTTTATTTTCTAAAAGTGCAGGAAAACATTCTTAAATCTTTTTTTATTGTGAACTTGCAAGTAAAATACCTAGAATGAGTTTCTAAAAAAAATTTGGGAACAAAATTAAAATTTGGAAAAATAATTTTCTTCACACTTTTGCAGGTTTAAGGATGTCAATTTCATTTGTAATAAATTAGCATGTTTAAAATATTTTATATTAAATTTTATTTTTCATTGCACAAATTACATTAATAATAAGAATGAATTAGAATAGGAAAAATATAGTAAAATAGTACTTGAATAATAGTACTATTAAATTATTCATCAATCTTACAATTTTAAAAAATTCCTAAAATTTTCGAATTGTTGTTTTGTTTTAGCAACTTTCTGCATTGATCTAATAGTTATAAATATATTATAATTGTAAAATTAGTAACTAACTTCTTAATAACTGATTGCCTTGAAGTCAATCAGTAGATCAAATCATTGCTGTGGGCAAGTTTTGTTTGCTCCACAAATTTGCATTAAAATTGTAAAAATGGAACAATAACCATAATAATTTAGAAGAAAAAAATGAGGGAAAATTGGGACTGGAAATACTCATAAATAATGTAATCTTTAATCTTTTTTCAATAAAAAAAACTTTAAAAATTAAAACAAAAGACAATAGTGCTATATGGTATTTAATTTTAAAATAACCTTAAATGTCTCTCTTTTAAATTTGTTACATAAAGGTATTTCTTTACAAACACTTGCAATTTTGCCCATATGGTTATTTTTTCATAAATTATTTATAAAAAACAGCATCTAATTCTGATTTCCTAGCAATTTCTTAAATTCATTTCATTGATTTATGTTTCTTAATGAGGCTTTTTCTTGATTCCATTTGTAATATGGCAGGGTTTTCACTCAATTTTAAAAAAAAAATTTTCAAGGTTTTACAAGAAAATTTCAACAAACTTCCAGATTTCACTTTTGCAATACAGGGTAATATTTCATAAATAATGTAATTTTTTTTCCATTTGAAAATCAATGAAATTTACTTTTTGATAGAAAACGTGGTAAATATAAAAAGAAAAAAGAAATAAAATGTCATTTTAAAGTATGTAATTTTACATGGCAAAACATTAAGTTAAAGCAAAACAGGTTGAATAGTTCTTGAGAAAGCAAATTTTAAATATACAACTTTTTTTGCTCTAATTAACTAGCACTGATTAATTAGCATATTTGAGGTGAACCCCTCGAACCAATAAGATTCAGTCCTAGAACATGAAGATCCAATTATTAGATCAAAAGTTATTCAGGATAGTCCATTGCTGTTTTTTTCTCTTTTTTTTTGCGCAACTCTACATAATAAATAAAATATGAAGTAGCTTCGTGTGATCTAATGCTTTAATTTATATTCATGTTATGTATTATAATAAGTAAAATCGATTTTAAAAATTCTGCGTAAATTCAAATAAAGAATATTGATGTAAATATATACATAACATATGCACTAAAAGACAGATATAGTACAAATAATAAAAAGAAATTGGTAAGAAATATTGTACTTTGTTAAATACACTTTCATGTAATTCGAAATATTTACAAATTTTAGAGAAAAAAATAATAATTTATGAAAATTTGCTCCTTAAATATTTGGTTTCTTTTAAAGATTTCATTATAATTATTAATCTATTTCCTTAACAGTTTTATTTATTACATATTATAAAATTGGAAACTTTCAGTTAAGAAACAAATGCCTTTAAAATGTGATTAATAAATAAAAACATCACAAATTTTAAACAGTTTTCACACAATTTAAAACATTTAACTCCAGAAGGAAAAAAAAAATTTATAATTCATCGAAATTTGCATGGTGACAAACTTGCAATCCCAACCATAAACAACTCAACCAATATAATTTTATTTATACATAAAATAACTCATTTAAATTAAGCAGGAAGGAATAAACGATTTTTTACATAAATTTAAAATATTTTGCAACATGGATATAAAACAAAGTGTTACTTCAACATCTCCAGTGTGCCCGACAAATATTCTTAAAGGTTCGCTTTCCTCAAACATCCACATACGTGCATCTTTTGAAGCAGTTGCAAAATATGCTGAATCAGGACTGAAATTTTAATTTAAAAATTTTTAACGAAGTGAAAGATTAATAAAAATCACTAAAATACAAAAATTTACATAAATAATATTGTGGTTTTGCTGCATTATATAAATTAGTAAATATTATAAAAACTTTGCCAAAGGAAATTTTGAAGGTATATAATTCAAGTCATCACGTGTTTGCAAATAATAATATTAAAAATCTTAGAAATTATAATATTTTGTCATAGATATAAATTATTTTAATTTGTTAAACTAAAGACTCTATATAGCTTTGATTCTATTTGTCTGTCTATTTGGAAATATAAAAATTAAAAATTTCAAACAGATTATTAAAGTTAGCTTTAGCTTTCACACAACTTATAAACACTATTTATAACTTAATTATGCACAACAATTTATAACATTAAAATATGTAATAATATCATATTAGACACACAAATTTTAAATATGAAAAAAAATTCTATTTAAATAAATAGAACTGATCACATTTATCAAAAACTTTTACTAACTTTAGTCAAATAATATAAATAAAAGCAAGCAAGAGAAAACAAATATATAAAGACCAAATGAAGCTAAACTTTTCCAAATCAGAGGGCTGTTTATATGATATGACATTCACAGAACCACATCAAATCCTGTACTCAGAATTATTAAAAAGAAGAAAATAATAGATATTTAAACCCTCCTTAACTGAACTGCCCACTTATGCCTTTTTAATAAAGTGCGGACGATACCTTACAATCTTCAACGATTCAAAAGGTTAAATTTGGTTTTACTCATCAATATACTTACAAAAATTAAAAACTACTTCCGTTAAGAAACACTAATTTGTTTGACTAACTATAAGAAATTTAAAAATAGGTAAATTTTAATTTTTAATGCATGAGTCATATGATTGAAGGAATAATCAAAAGAAACTGAAGTGGAAAGATATACCTAATGATATAAAAATTTCATATGCTTCAAAAAATATGAAGATGGTAATAAAAGTCAGCATGTTTTGAGTGCTCAAAAAAAGGTGCCCATTCTCAAAATTGACCACAAAACAAAAGTGAATATAAAAGTGAACTTTTGTTTTCCTCATTCATGTAGGGTGTCTATGATGAGAATGGGTGTCTATTTCTGCTGCCAAACATGTTGACTTTTATTTCTATATATTTTTATTCTATATATTTCATATTTTTTTAAAGTAAATGAAGTTTTTAAATCATCAAGTATATCAGTGAAATAATTGGCTACAGAATAAAATTTATTTCAGTTTAGTTATACAGGGTTTAATAAATCTAATTAAAATAGTACAAGAATTTACCAATAAGTGGATTCATAACAATGGGGAAGCAAGATTTGCAAAAACTGGAATCTGTACAATACATAGAAATTAAGACTGATAAAAGTGGAAGAGGAATGTTGCATATGCAAGGTTTTTTTCTTTTCTAAATTTTCTGACGCACAATGATGATTTTGAAAAATAAGAGCTTGTTTTGTGCTTTTTTGAATGAATTATGAATAAAAATACAATCTGAAATGCTTGCTGCCCAATTTTCATATCATTATGACCCATACTATACAATGTATAACACTCAGAGAAATTTTATTTCAAAAGTACTGCATACACGAAGCTCATTTATGAACATTGAGAAAGAGTGTCAGCAAATGATTGAAATCTCAATTTTAATCACATAATTATTTTAGAAAAATCATTGATCTCAATCGATGAAGATAATTTGATAACCTTTCACATCAATTCTACCTAATAAAAATAAAAAATGGAATGTTTCTATAGTAGCAATAAAATAATCAACTAATTTTTAAACAAATTTATATAGATTATTGCATAACACTTGCCATTAGAATATTTTTAGAATGCCTATAAAAAGATATGTACATTAAGAAGTAAAAAAATAATAATAAAGAGAGGGAAAAAATGTTTTTACAATATGAGGAATCCATATTGAGCAAAGGAGTTGAGCAATATGAGGAATCCATATTGAGGAAAAGAGTTGAGCAATATGAGGAATCCATATTGAGCAAAGGAGTTGAGTAATATGAGGAATCCATATTGAGCAAAGGAGTTGAGCAATATAAGGAATCCATATTGAGTTAAAATCATCTAACCTGCTTGAACTTAACTGTGTTGGCTTTTCAATAAAAACAGACTTTAATTGTTCAATCCTTCTTTTTAATTATTTTAATTCTTTCTTTGCTCTTAGTTACTTAAAAAGTGAATGGTAAGAGTTTGATAATGTTTTTGTTCTTTTATATATACTAATATTAAAAAGTGGCTATTAATGTGCACAATTTTAGGACTTCAATTTTCAACAAGGGTTTTGATAATATGTATTAAGGGCAGTCATTGTGGAATATTCTTTAGAATATTTTCATATATACACACAAACCAGTAATTACACGGCTAACTTTATAAAAGAATGAAAAGATAAGTGATAAAATCAAGCAAGAGTGCCATTTCTATATAAGGCTTTTTTAACATTAATTTTTATTATGTAGGAAAATAATATAACAATTTAAAACATAGTCATTAGTATTAATTTAGCAGTTTAAATAAGCAGTTTTTCAGTCACTTTATTTTGGTATTAATATTTCTGTCTGTTTTATGAAATTTTTCACTAAATAACTCGATACAGAAATACAGTCAAACCCCGCTATAGTGAACCTTCAAGCGACCGAAATTTCAGTTCACTATATCCGTTCCGCAAGCAATTTTAACTAATGGTTCCGAACTCCTTTTTATTATACATTATTTAAATAAATGACCAAGAAAATGGAACACAAAAATGACTGATAAATAATACGTAGTAACAAAAAATGTATTGACTTGCATTTATTTTTTATTACTCTTCGTCTTGTGTACAAAAAAAAAAAAAAAATAGTAATCTTAAGCTGAAAAATTTGTCCATACATCTGCCTGGGTAGGACTTCGTTTAGGGATGGAAAAGTGTGATAAAAGAAGCAAACAAGAAAAAATGCTTATCGCTACATTCCACCCAATAGGTGGTTTTGAAAATCAGTATAAGTATTTATTTGAAGTAGACGTTTCAAAATTATTAAAAAAAAATTAAGAAAAATCAGTCGAAGACAGAAAAAAGTTCATAATATTCAACTTTCTCACTTTTTTAGTTCACTATATCCCCAAAAATAACATTATACGTGTATAGCAAGGCACGAGACCGAACATTTCGTTCACTATATCCGGGAGTTCACTATAAACCATGTTCACTATAGCGGGGTTTGACTGTAGTATAAAAGTAATATAAGAATTTGGCTTATTTTGCCACAAATCTTTAAATATATAAATCTAAATTTTTTTTTAAAAAATTAGAAATATTAATATTCAAAAATCTTTGAAATATATTTCACAAAATAATGTGATTAAAGATTAAAATAATTTAGAAAACTTGATACTTGTTTAATAATTCAGCTTAAGATTAATAAACATAAATAAAAACCTATTTGAATCAAGAAAATTTCAATAAATTTCGAAAATTCAAGAAGATTTCAATATAAAATAATAAGACTTATTTTTTTTACCGAATTGGTAATCTATTCAAATTTAATATAATTTCAACACATAGAATTCGCCTTTTCTTGATCATTAAGGAAAAATAAAGAGATATCGTTCTTTTTTAAAATTACGCCAAAACTGTTGAAAAATAATAAATAAATATTTAAACTGAATTCATATACCTCATTGCAATATCCCATATTGGATGATTATGTCCTGAATAAACAGCTGAATTTTTAAAATCAACTAAATTCCAAGCTCTAGCTGTAATATAATCACAAATAATGTATTTAAAGCATCCATTACACAAACATTTTGCTTTGAAAATCAAAAGTTAAATTTTAAAATACTGCAGAATATAATTTTATCTGATCTCATAAATTTTATTTTAAAAGTTCTTCTATTACATAAATCGTTCAATATTTTAAATTTAAGCAATGTTTTAAATAGCAGCCTGTCTTGACTTAACAAATTTATTAATATTACGCAAAATTGAGTTTAATGGCACCTAAATCAGAAAATTATATACTGTGCCAATTATAAATTATATTACTTATCAAAATTAATGAAGTCAAAGAATGTTATTAACTTTTTACATTATATTATACAAATGACGTTACAACTATTAACTTCTGACCCCCTAAAATATAGCAAATATTTTACAACAGTAGAACTAGTATTTACTTCTTGTAGGGAACTTTCAGCAGATTGGGGTGATAAATATAATGTATTACCATTTTTGCGATAGAGTAAATACCATAAATATAGATAATTTTTGAAAGATATTAATTTCTATATTAAATACTATTTCGCAAATCAATTCCTCAATTAATTATCAACTATAATTATTAAAAATATGAACCATGTGAATAACAATATCTCACCAGTACAATCCTCAGAACAGGACAATAAAACAGTGCTGTCAGGTGTGATTGCTAATCCAAATACTGAGCCAGTATGACCATGAAGTAATCTATTTGAGCTAAAAAGATAATGATAATTTAAATATACAAAATATAATCGTATAATTTTTTTCCCTTTAATATTATTAACAAAAGCTTAAGAAAAAAGCAAATATTTTGATGAAGAAACAACATTCTTGAGGAAAAAAATATATAAAATAAAATAGTTTAAAACATAATTAGCATCCAAACTAATACTCAGGAGTTTATTAGTGTCATTTTGACATCAAAATAAATAAGCAAGACCAGAAATGTTAATTATTTTCATACGTTGTACAAGTAAAATTTAATTATAAAGCACACTTAGCTTATTTAAGCTCAGTCCACAAATGAATTTACCTTGTTTGGCATTAGTTCAACAGGGTATTAAATTCCGCCTCTTTTTGCATAGTTGTGTTTTTTCTAAGGTTTATGAAAAGAAGTTCTGAGTGAAAAAATTTCTATTCTCTCGATTTCTAATCTACTTTTCTTAGCCAAATAACAAAAAAATAATCAGTCAATACAGCGAGAGGAAAAAGTCCAGTTCACTTGTTTTAGATTCTAACTTTTGTCCAATCCAGTTTTAATCTCTGTAATCAAACATAATAAAATCATAAGTCTAACACTTTCTCTAAGGTGTCCTAAACTAATTGGAAAATCTAGTCTTTGCTAACGTCATTTATTAGGCTTATTGCATTGTGCCATATAGGTGCATTGCAAAGGGACATTGACAGTTTGCAAAGAGCTGGAATTTACAATTTGCCTGAGGCATATACACTCAAATCAAGCTGGGCAGCTACTTCAAGTGTTCTAATGGAGAAGATACATTATAATGCTCATTTAACTGTAATATAACTTGTAATGTGTTTAGTGTTTTGCACTATCTTTTACTTTAAAAAAATGCTTCATATCAATACTAATATTTTTTTAACCAAATTTTAATCTCATCCAAAGAAAATTTTAGATTGAAAATGTAAGAAGAGGAAAAGCAAGACGCAAAACCTGAATCAAAATAGAACAATGGAAAATGGAAATTAATAAAAATATTAGTCAATATTATAAAAACCAATATATTTTTAAAAACATACAAATAAAAAAATCAATTATAAAAATTACCCCATATTCGAAACTTTCTCAACAGAAATATCACAAGATAAAAATTTCTCAAATTCTCCGGAATCCACCTTTACAGGAACTAATTTTTTCCCTTCTGATTTTATTTTCAAAAAATCTTTGGTTAGATCCCATAAATGAAGTTCAGAGTTTTCAAAGCCACATGCTAGTAAAGTGTTGCTGGCATTAACATCTACGGCACACAGACTGGAGAGAGAAAAAAAATAAAATCATTTAAAATTAAGGAAAAATCAACATAATTAAAAATGATGAAGAAAAATGATCAGAAAAACTATTTGTAACAATGATTGTAAAAGAAGCAACTTGAAGACGGACATCTTTATTTCTAAAAAGTCACCTCACAAACTTTAGTCATGAATACATTTTTGTATCATGCGACACAAAATTTGTAACTTTTATCAATTATCATAGATAGCATATTATAAATATAAAATAAATAACAGAAAAGGACTTAATTACTGAGAACTATATAATTTTTAATATAAATAAATATGGCAGAGATTTCATTAAAGTTATGGGTGATTTAGTGTACTATATGACACATAAGTTTTAGGTTTAAATATGTTTTAAGAATTCAAGACACAGTTATAAACTATTATGAAATTGTTTCTTTATAAAGCCTAACTTTCCTGGATAGCTAATTAAAAAAGAGGATATTAAGTTTATAAAATAAATGTACAAAAGAAATTTTCCACATAGAAGAAATATTATATGCGATATTGCATTAATAGTAATAAAATAATACGGTGAAAAAGTTGTAGTAAAATATTCTTGTACTGTTTGGTATAAGTTATTAAAATTTTAATGTATGTGAAAAAGCATGTCTTCCCAAAATAAGCTTTTATGTGTAGGTAAAACATAATAATTATGCTTCAATCAAAAGCAATCTCAACAAAGTAAAAGTTATATACCTTTTCTTTTGTGTCAAAATTCTGTAAGTATAACTAATTGGTTTACACAAATTTCCTTTCAAACTTTTTACAACAGATTTGAATTTCATTATTTCTGATTCTACTGTGGAAACATCATATTCAGCTTCATAGCTAGAAGATTTCTCAATGTTATCGGACTTCAATTCTTTGCCTTCTTGGATATTTTGCGGAGAATTCACTAGAAAAATTAGTAAACATTAAAATACAATAGTAAATGGTTGGTAACAGTCAAGAGCAAATTGCCTTTTTTCAACTTAAGTATAACCTTAGATGTTTAAAATTACATTAATTTAATTTCGAATGTATGTTGGTATATTCAATTGATTGTGAGTACTTTCAATACAAATTGGTATAAGGATAAAAACAAAAATTGTTCTTTCCCTTGAAGCTTCATTAATTTTAACAATGAATATCTTAAATATTACAAGAAATAAAAGGGCAAAGCTATTGAAAATGAAACCAATTTTCCTTAAGAAAATGTTAACACAAATTAAAATACTTAGCTATATATAATACTATGAAAAGGGATAGATGATTTTTGAAAATATGAAATGAAAAATATGAAAGGGTTATTAAAACAAGTAAATGGTGAAAATTTTAAAAACAAGTTCTATGAATGAGCAAATATACTTACCTTTGTTATGAATGTGCAGTCTAACTATAGTGATCAAAATTTGACTCTTTATTTCCTTTATTAAAAAAAGAAGAAGAAAAAAACTATCAGAATGCTTGTCAACTATGGTTATAACTAATAATTCACGTATTTATTATATAATCTCCAAAACCATTCCATGTTCTTTAAAGTAATTTATCAATAGGATTCACACCAGTATGGAGACAATTGTCAGCAAATGTTCTACTAATGTCGCTAAAATCATATGCATGGGCAACAAATTTGTCGTCTTGTTATATGTTTGGAATTCAGAAAATAGTAAAGTTTTTTGCATCAAATTTCATGCATTTAAAAAAGCAATTGTTGTACTGAAAGTGTCTGGCACAAATTTTTTTTTAATTAAATGTTGAAAGTTCAAATTTGCATGTTGTGTTGTGCTTTGCATTCATGTGCTGGCAATATAGTTGTTCATCTAAAAACTAATATGCTTCGCTCTTTTAGAATTGACTTTTATAATTATTAATTTGAAATTTATAATTTCTGGATAATTAATTTTTAATATAATATTTCGCTAGCTCTTAGCTTCTCTGTTTTTCTCCTTTATTAATTTATTTGGTCTCAGCATTTTAGTCTCTATGTCGAATCTATTTACTAATATTATTATATTATTTTAACTTTTTCACTTAATTTTTTTTTTAAAAATGTTCCATCATTATGTGTTAATGAACCTAATTAGTTATTATAGCTATATGGATAGCTATAATATAGAATATTTTCTGATGTGAATCATAACCTGAATTATGTAATTGCGAAGTTTGATTTTTATCCTCAGGTTTGTTGACCATATTAAATTTTTGGTCAACTAAATGAATACTTAGGTGGTCCTGTTAGACCACTACATTTGTACTACTGGTGTGAACCCTATTTATTTATAAGTGTCATTCACTAAAAAATCAGAGGAGCTTTAAAGGTATGAGCCCTGAAACTGTTTGTTGAAATTACAGGCAAAATTATTACACATTATTACTTTCATATCTTCATTGAAACAAACAGCAACATGTCATGTCATGCTACAAAAAGAAAAATTTGCATCATTAAAATTGAATTTGTCACTACTTACTTTACTCTTTAAATCCTGCGATCATTTTTGTACTTCTAAATATTGCTAAGAGATGGCCCAACTAGTCCCCCTTATAATTTTCACAGTGATATTTACCGCCTTGAATTGAAATCAAAATCAATTTGTATTTTCGCTTTCATTAGTGTTACCACTGCATGTAAAAAATAGCTATGATAGTTTTGTGATAAATATGATTTTTACGCCTTGATGCTATAGACTGATTGTAAATTTGTTTTAACAGTATGGTTGGAAAATTATTTTCAAAAACATTTTTTACCTAATTTTAATAATTATTATATGCAGATATTTATCTTAAATACCTTAAAGCAATAGACTTAATAAATATGTTATCAAAGAGTATTTTTTTAAGATAAGACTTGGGTGCGCTGCAGGAAAAACTGGAGATCAGTGGATGAGGCATCACATATTTCAGCACCAATAGGTCAAACAAAAAACTGCTTGCTGACAAAAATATTTTGCATTTACGAAATCAGGATAGAACATAGTTTAATTTTCAACAACAAAATAAATGCATTTTTTGGGTCAGAAATTAGAAAAAAATTTGACAGTATTATGGAGATTGGCATTTAACTAGTGAATAGAAAATTAATTCAACAATTTTTTACACAGAACACTAACAATGCAAAAAAGACAATGGAATAAAGAAAATATTTATATAATCGAAGAAAAGAAAATTGAGCTATACCCTTATAGGTATCGCCTTATCTGAGTATCACTCTTATAAAGTATTCAGATAAGAAAAACAGAATAAAAAAACAGCATATTTTTTATAGTTTGAAACTTAAAATAGGTTTTTCTAAACTATTCATCTTCCATAGATAAAGTTTAACTTACATAGACAAAGTTAAATTCAGGAATAAAAATAACAATATAAAATATTTACCTCTAAAAAAGATTTTACTTTAGAAAAGCATTCTTCCGTAGAATTGACAATATACTTGCTTTCACTAAAATACACAAAACAATTAGTGCTATACTATAAACATAAATACAAATATTTACTACAATAAAAAAACAGTTATAAATACAGTAAAAAAACTTATAATTTAATTTTAAATGTATAATTTAATTTAATTTTAATAAAAAAAATTCATAATTTAATTTAATTTTAAAATACAGTAAAAAATTTAAATAGAAATCTGAAAATAAAAATAATCTTGAAATTTCCAACAGTATAAATATGCTTCATTTAAATTCTAACATAATATATTTTTCTTAATAGTTTAATAACAGAAGTTTAATAACATGAGATTGATGTAATTAAAAACCTTTTATAGATGTAACAAGAGAGAATAATAGATAATTAGAACAAAAAAAATTATTAATACAATGACAATGAAATCGACAATTATAGCTCAGTTATTTTTTCTTTCCAAATTAGGATTTTTGTTAACCATAGATTTTAAATTACACAAAGAATAAAAATTGTACAAAAAAATATCATTTAGGGAAATTTACTGCTTTAAAATAAAATATTGATATTATTATGAATATATATAATTAACTTAAAACTATCCTACATTATGTACCATGTGACTATCCACGTAAAGTTTAACTTATCATGTACATCTATAAGCCTTTCCTGCCTACATTTTCTCTTTTAAATAGGCTTTACTTACCGTATTTTTCGGCGGAAGAGCCGCGGGGCTATCGGAAAAAAAGTTGTTTTTTACTACATGCGACGCTTTCGATGCAGCGGCGCTTCCGACGAAATATTTTTTGTAGCAAAAAATTTGTCNTTTTTATCGATGTGCGGCGCTTGCGACGAAGCGGCGCTTTCGCAGAAAAATACGGTAATATAACTAAATAGCTTTTCTTTTTATTTTAAAGCAAATTTAAATATGAATAATAAAACAAAAATATACAATTGATAGAAATCAAAAATTAAATATTGTAACAAATAGGAGGAAAATTGCAAAGAACTCTTGTGTTGCTAAAAAAAGTAAAAATTTTGAACAGAGTTAACACTGCAAAGAACAAAAAGTAAAGAATTTTATCTGTTACAGGCTGTTTTTTCTGATTATATTCTTAACTGTAAAGGAAATTATTAAATTTTTCCAGAATTATTTTAACATTTAGATTTAATTTAAACAAGATAAAAATTTTACATATAAGGACATTATATTTGCAAATTTTGCTATGTGTATGTGAAATTTAGATGAATTTATGCAATAATAATCTGTGTCAGGGCTCGAAAAACCACCCGTCCTCAGCGGTCAAAAATTCCCCGAGGACAACGAATTTCTCGAATGACGGCCATTTTCTCGTTAATGTTCGTGACACAATTTCAATTTTTGCTATCTTACAAGAGTCTAGTGCCTCACTTTTAAAATGACCCTTTAATCTAGAAATACAGCAACATGCTGCACATGGTGGAATTGATGTTTTCTCTGTCTGGGAGTACTGCAGAGGTTGAAAGGAAATTTTCAGCAATGAACTTACAAAGAAATACAATAGGTACTGGTTTTAAACAAGAAGCGTTAAACGCAATTATGAACATCTACCTAAATGGAAAACCCCTTTCAGATTTCTGTGCAGAAACCTCTTTAAATCATTGGCTTGATTGTGGAACTGGCAAACGTCATATTTGATTCATTTAAAAAACGCAGTACCTTCGGATAAATTGACATTCCAGATAACTTGACCTTTGTCATTTTAATTATCTCATAAAATAAATAAATTATTTCATAAAAGAAATACTAGGTTATTATTAATAACCTAGTATTTCTTTTATTACTGTATAATGTAATCCTAGTAACTACTTATTCATTGTTCAGTTTATATAAATGTTTATAATAAATAAGAGAAAATTATATATTTATTTATATAGAAGCTACGGGTTAGTTTTAAAGGAGGACGGGTACATTATTGGACAAGCCGTTCTCAGGGATGGGTAAATTTTTTTAGTTTTTTCGAGCCCTGGTCTGTGTGTATATTTGTAAAGATAGAGCTGAAGATTCAATCAATTAATTCAAATACTGGGCTAATAATTATTTTAAAGATCAACTAATATCTAGAACAGCAGAAGTTTTACTTAACCAAGAGTTAGTTACGAATTTATATTTTTGCGGGTAAAATTTCTAAATGCAGTTAAAATAAAAATGAAATTATAAAAGCACAATATAATTAATCAACAATTATACAAATGTGAAAAATAAAACTTATAATGGCTGTTTTTAATTAGAGTTTTGTACATTTCTTTCTCACTTTCATTGATTTATGACTAAAATTCAAGTCAAAATAAGTAAATTTTTTAATAAAAATTAGCTATTCTCGCCAATTGCAAAGCAAATGTTAGCCTCTACTGTTCTAAATATTAACAATAAAGCTACCCTTCACTAAGTATTTATTCAACACCAACATGACCATGCCATATTAAAATAGAGAATTTGTTTAATAAATTTAAAAATAACATATTACAAATTCCCAAAAATAAAATCTGCAAATTTGATTGAAGATTTTTAAGTTGATTTAAGTAAGAAATTTTTTAAAATAAAATATTTTTAGTTCAACATTATTTAAGATGAAGTTGTACCTTATTATAAAACATTACAGAGAAAAGTCAACAATGAAAGGCATAGTTAGTACAGTTGACTCAGAATTAAAATCCATGACTGGATAAAACTGGATAAGATGGAAATAAAATTAAACTTCTTCCCTAGATAAAGAAAGAGCACCACTATCTAATTCTCTTTTTAAAATTGTGATGATTTACTAGAAACAGTATCTAACTCTGTATCTACAGCCTATCTCATTGTTAGTGCCAACATTTGCACAAGTGCTGCCACATGATCATAAATATATAAAATTAAAACACTTATAATAAATTTATAATTATGCCTTAAAATAAAATTTTAACAAACAAGTTTTAAAAAGTTTAAAATTTCAGTCTAGCATAAAATATTTCCTATTGCATTTTCTAGAAAAATCTAATACCATTTCTTTTAAAGGTAAAATTTTTAAACAAAAAAATTGTAATTTAAGAAAGTTATTTGTTTCATATAGATGATATTTTTATTTTACAATTTCAAAGTTTTCAAATTATGCCCGTAAATATAGGATATGAATTGCATATAATATCTTAACAATTATATTGAAGTAACACTTAAAAGAACTTTGTTAATTTCCAGATGTTACTAATATTATCATGTATAAATGTTTAACTAAATTCAGTAGTTTATTATTAATAGTATATTTACTATATGTAGTGTAGTATCTTAAATTAATACAAATTAATGATATATTAAGTTTAATAAAAATTCTGTGTCAAAGGATTAAACTGAAACTAAGTCTTAAAGCTTAGTCAAAAGATATTTCACAATCATGATAATTATTAATTTGTACAATCTTTTTGAGAAATTAAATGTTAACTTTAAACAGAGGATAAGCAATGCTTTTAACTTATTTTTTTATTGTCACATCTCGTTTTTTGGCTTTTTTATTCATGCTTTCAAAATCAAACAAACATAATAATTTTGAAAATACAAATTTTAAACACAACGAACTAAAAGCGAAAAAAAGGAGTCCAATAACTTATTTTTCACATTTAATGACTATTATACTAGTTTTAGAAACAAATTTAAAAAATCAAGATAAAACATTGACTTAATAAAATACATCATACACTAAAATAAAATAGTTTAGCAAAAAGTACAATTTTAAAAATCAAAAATTGCAATATAACATTAAAATATTTACCAAAACTGCTTGAAATATGTATGATTTTCAAATTCATGAAAGTGTCTGAAATCTTGCAAAGCTTTTAACACACTTGCATAACCAGCAGCATTTGAAAAAAGAGGTGAATATGTCAACAGAAACTGCTGCCCTATGTCAAATGATATTTCATATAATTTAAAATTAAGCAAACAGATACAATTCACTCATGTTATAAAGATAAATACAATATCAAAGAAATTGTTAAAAACAAAAACACTTTGCAGATTATGTTCAAGAAATTAAAATTAAATACACAAGAAATTAATACAAGATGTTTAAAATCATTGCAAATTAAAAACAAAAGTAAAAATTGTACATTTTCAGTTTGACAACACAGTTGTAATTTAGTAATTTTAACTTACATTCTTAATACTTTTTTACAAGGTGTCAATTTTAATCCAAACATAAAAATCAGAACTTACTAAAATCATTTTATTTGAATTCTCTCTAAAATTCTCTCTTTTTTTGACATATACTAACTAAAAAATTTATATTATTTTATGCTTTTTTATAACTTTGTTGTCAACATGCATTTGTACAGAAAAAATAATAATAAAATATTGTCCTTTCACATGAATATATCATATATTAGAACTCTAATCTTTACTTTTACTATGCTATGAATAAAGCAAGATATTTTTTGGTATAATTTTTCTATCATATATTTTGCTTTATTGATTTATATGATCTTTAATTGAGACAGAAATAAAAATAAATCAATCTGTAAAGACATAAAAATGAATCAATTTTGCCTTTTTTCAAAAAATAACTCAATAATTATGGAAATACAATAATTTAGACTAAAATATGTATAAATTATGCTTCTTAGAATGATATAATAATAAAAATTTTAAAAACTTCAATTTTAGATATTTTTCCTCAATTTGATTTCTTATTATTTTTGAAATCTTATTCTTATTAAAAAAAGTTAAAAAATCTTCAGCTAATGAAAATTGTCTATTTTTAAAAAAAATTTCTTTAAAAAAAAGACATGATTGAATTTAACAATGATCAATAAATTAATGAAATAATCATGATTTTGTAACTTCTTAAAAAAATTATTTATTTAAATCTTTTTGAATACGAAATGTGCACAGCAATGTGTGTATGAAAAAAAAATAGATAGTAATAGTCACTAAAAATAGTTTTTCTAATTTTATTTTGAATAAAAAAAATTTAACCTCAGATTTAAGACCAATACATATTTTTTCAATTTTAAAAACTAAACTTAATATAACATTCCTAAAATTTAAAAAAAAAAATACTTTCAATGAATTAAATATTTAGTCATGTGTGACAGATGTAATTGCACTAATTATGTACAAGTGAAATTTCATTATAAGTTTTGGTAAATGTAATTAAAAAAAATTTTAGTAATGAAAAATATAAATAACTAGAACATAAGAGAGAAAAAAATTTGGCATAAAGTAATTGAAGAGATATAAAAAAATAATAAAGTTTAAAAATGCTAAAGAATATTTTGAAAGACACAAAAATTAGTTTCAAAAAAATGATACAGAAATTTATGTTTTCAAGGTTAAATATTAATAAAAAAAATACTGCTATAGTTAAATAAATTTGAATTGTAAAATAACTTTATCACATAATATCACAGTTAATCACAAAGCATTCGCACATATATTGAATAAATAACAAAGCAGTACTTTATTATATGGTGTAATATACTAACTACTAAAAGACTAATGTGTTATTCTTAGCTAAAACTAATATTCCAAATTACAGATATTTATACAACTTAGTCTCAGTTACAAAAACCTAATACTTCCAGTAGCAAATACCTATCAATCTTAATTAACAGAAGAGATGAGTAAAAATTTATAGAAGTATTAATGGAAATTATTCCATAATTATGTAAGTTGAAAAAAATTTAAAATACGTTTTGACTTAAACAGCATGAAAATGTAATATATGTTCAATACATTTATAGAAACTTAGTATTATGAATTACGATAGTCTATGAAGAAACAGAATCCAATCTGTATCACTCATTATAAATCAACTTCTTTGTATTAATTTAAAAAAATTAACCTATAGTTCAGAACTACGCCTCAAATTGATACGAATCTCCATATTAATACAAAGCAGATGAATACAAATTGTTTTGAGACTGCTGATAAATACTACCAGCAGGATGCTAAGTTCGAATAAGTAACTGAGTACTGTAGTAATTGAGAGAGTTAGTACTTTTCTAACTGATACGAGTGGAGCTGTTAGTGACGTTACTAATTGGATTTATTCCCTCTAAATGAATACTAGTACATATTTGGTTGTAATATTTAAAATTGATGCTGTCATCTAGATGATATACAGTCGGACCTCGATAATTTGACACTCGCTTAATTCGTCACTCCGGTTATTTCGACGCTTAATTTCAAGTCCCGATTGATTTGCATTGGATTCAGTGTTAGCAAACTCCGTTTAATACGTCATGGGGAAATTATGAACTCCGGATAAAATGACACTTTAAAGAATGTTTTCACTGGGAAATTGCTTTTCTACAGTCAACTTTTGCGGAAATTTCCACTTGGCTAATTTTGCCATTCGCACTAGGCAACTGGGTCTTGGAATTCGGACACTGGAAGCGTTTTTCCCCTGCCCTTTTGTCTCACCCTTCCTTCCATCACCTCTTGCAGAAAGAGTTGCAATAATGCTCCTTTTCTCTGACCTTACGAGGGGGTAACGGAATTTGGACAAGTATGTAAACCATACTGTTTGTCTTTCTTCTGATGCTATGTTTTAATTGAATTGTTTTAATGCAAATTCTTTAACGTTTTTTTTTTAATTTTAAGAAATTGATATTTCGCTGTTGTATGTAATAATTGTTAATTTATAGGTATTTTCCGAATTTTTTGAAAAACAATGCAACTCCGGTTTATTTGTCACTCCGCTTAATTCGTCAGTTTTTCAGAGGTCCCGAGAGTGTCGAATTAACGAGGTTTGACTGTATTTATAAAATTAGTAAGTTATTTTTCATTTGTTTTAGCATTTTAACTTCTTCACATGTTGAAAATTAATTAATACAAAATGTATTCATTAATTTCAAGATATATTTATTTAAAGTACAAGGTACTTTAGAAAATATTGATGCGATTTATCTTAGTATGTAGGACTCTCTTCAGAATTTAAAGAATAGATGTTCAATAAGAGATATGTGGTTGTTTTATGCCATTAAGGCAAGGGGTGCGATTGTTTTTGCTTTCCCTTAGCGCCATCTATGGCCAAGAATTCGACTTCTGCCACACCCATACATCACACCCGTTTATAGGGTGGACCCGTTCATCCACATATCATAATTTTGACATGGACCAGAGAACGACCAATCTCCAATTCAGTACACCCAGAGGTATAATTTGTTATGGGAACATGTAGGACTTTGTGTTCCCACAGATTTAACATGCACCAACTCCATTTACTACACATTGAGTCTTTGGCCAGCTGAATTTAAACTCCTGTTCTCACGAACAGGAGTCCAGCACCTTGCCAACCAGGCTACCCTGGCCCAATGAGACATATTAAAACTATATTTGATTTCAAATATCTGTTACTGTCCTGCTCACATAAAAATCATTTTCAATGACTTTTACAAATTATATAAAATAAACTGTTCCTCCTAGACAACTACAAATAAAAACAATATTTTAAATATGTAGTAGATACAGTAGGGAACCGATTATCCGGAACGATCGGGACCATCGCTATTCCGGATAACTGATTTTTCCAGTTTTCTGGATCGCTACAAAAAGCCGTTTTTTTTTTATTGTTAAACCCAACTAAAAAAATTATATTTGGAAATAATCTTAAAAAGAAGAAAAAACGATGAAGTAATACACTAATGATTATTTCCAAAATAATGGTAAGGTAAACATCTTTCAAAAAAGAAAGAAAAATCCTAAAATCTTATGAGGAAAAAACATTATTTTTTTAAAGAAATGACGGGAAAATTTACCGAATTTCGTTCCGGTTTTTNAAATCATTTTCAATGACTTTTACAAATTATATAAAATAAACTGTTCCTCCTAGACAACTACAAATAAAAACAATATTTTAAATATGTAGTAGATATAATGCAAGCTGGATTAAAAATTTAGTAATCTTTGCAAACGAAATGTTATAATATAACAAGATTATAAACAAATTACAATGATAGTGTTATAGGTAATAAAAATTCATTAAAAATCAAAATTCTACAAATTATTTAATTTCCAACAAACAAAAATTAACATTACCTTCATCTACTTTATTATTTTGTAGTAGAGTCATGTAAATGTACACAAAGAAAGGATATAAGTAATTGCTTAGCTCAGATTTTATTGATTCTGGAGAAGTCTTTATAAGTTTTATGAAACTAAGAGGATAAATAAATAAATAAACATTAATGAAAAAAACATCTATAATAATAAAGCAGAATATGTAAGACTAACATTGACAGCTTAACATTTTGTAAATAAGCAGATTTCTTACAATGTTTTACAAATAAAATGTTTGACTTTGAAATTATAATAGTTTTTTTATGGAATAAAATAAATATGCCAATAAATAATTATTCCTCAAAAATATTGTAACATTACATTTTGTACATTATAAGATACATAATATATCTGCACAACTGCTTTAAATTTGAAGCCTTTGACTAAGCATATAACAGTGTTAAACAATAACAACATTTAGTAGAAGGTAGACTTTATAAAGTTCCTAACAACCATAATCTTCGACAATGAAATTAAGATACTTTAACCGAATTGAACACAGGGNATTTTTCCAGGTTTTTATCCAAATTTCCCTGATATTTCCAGGTTTTTTCCAGTATAAAAAAATTCCCTGATAATTCCAGGTTTTCAAGGTTTTCCAGGTGGGTGGCCACCCTGTGAACACTAGACTAAAAGTGCCATTAAAATATTACTTATTAGTATTAGACATTATAATGCTACTTTATGTACAGTATGGAAGGAAAAAAACACCTATAATAACTTTTGTTCTCGTGATTAAATTTTTGTGGGGGAAAATTCAATCATTTAAACAAATTGATTGAATTCCTCAAGGGGTAAACCTCAAACATGCTAATAAATTTAGTGTTATTAATTATGTTACAGAATCAGACACAAAAACAGATATTTGTAAACAAACATGCCTTTATTAAAAGGATTTTCATTTTTGACTATCCAAATCTGGAAAATATGATGCCATTAATTTAGTTAGGATAGTAGGCAAAAGTTTCGGGTAATTAATTTCTATTTTACTTGTTGCATTTTTTGGCGTATCACCAAAACTAATTGCACTGTTCAAAAAATTCTTGCAATAAATTATGAATCTAAAAATAGTTTCATGAAAAAATAATTTTCATTTAAAATTTTAATGATTATTTTTCATTACTTCATATTTAAAAAAAATTTAATTGAAAGACATGCATGCTCTATCGTCATTTTAAACATTAATTAATTTTAGATGACAAAATTTAAATGAATCAGTTAAATAGCTTCTGAATAAAAAAAAATTCAAAAAATCGTATTTTAAACTTTTCAATTTTAAAGAAATATTTTACTCATTTCTTTCAAATTTCGTAATTTACATTAAGGTTGGTCTTTAATAAGTGAAAATATGATAATTCGAACCCTGAAATCATCCTGAATAAATAATTTATTCAGGGTGATATCTTTTTTTTCTTACTGCACATTAATAGATAAATCTGCATGAATGCTTTAAGATTTACCGATTTCTTTTAACCTTTTGAAGGCTCATAAAATAGATAAATTGTCATAAATGCTATCATATATATATATACACCATTTTCTTAGTGGTGAAGAATGCTAATCAAAATGTAATTTACATAGCAGGATTGTTAGACATTTAAAAGAAATATATTCAACTAGTTATTACATTACTATGAACAGTTTTATAAAAAGAAATTTTAACAAACTATATAAATTTAATGTATTGTTTCATAATTAAAAAAAAGTATTCTCACTTTTTGAATTCATCATTGGCTGAAGAATAATTAAGTGGTATTTTTAGCCATTGCTTTGCACTTGTCACATTAACAGCCATCTAGGATTTTAACAAAGAAAAATACAAATTTTAAATCGACAACATTATTTTCTATTAAATTATAAAGTTTTTTAAATTAAAAATTATTTAAAATTTTAATGGAAATCATCACGGTAATGAAATTACTAAATCATAATAATGAAAGTACAAATCATAAAAATAAATTTAATTTAAAGAATCAATGGTTTTGCATTAAAAACAATACATAATTAATTTAGTTAAAAGTAAAATTTGATAACTATTAGATTTTGAACAATTGTCGGGATTATAGATGTTTTATTTAAATTCTAAAGTAAATATAATTTTTGTAAAATTATTTCATCTAGTTGTTATTCATGACCTCAAAGAAAATACCCAAATAAATTTATAAATAAAAAATTTTTGTAGAAGGTTTTTACAATTTCTATATAAAAGAATTACATAGGACTTTTAGCAACAACCTTGAAAACAATTATCTTTACAGAAGATATATAAATTTTCAATAGATTACTTTCAGAAACTTAATATGTTTATACCTAAATTTAAAAAAAAAAAAAACAGAAAAAGAAAACTTAATGCACTAAAAAGCAAAAATGCTGCCTACTGATATATCATGACATATTTAATAAAGAGAAAGAAGGGAATATTAACATTTTTTTAAAAAATTCATGGTATATCAGATGTTTGTTAAAGAAAATTATAAAACAAAAATTTCCATCTTCTTTCTTATTTATTGCATTAGTAGAGAGAAGAATATTTCTATAATAGAAAATTTTTTTTAAAAAACTGAATATGCTATTAAAAATGGAATTAAATACAAAAATTTTATTTGCTGACATTTTTATAAATTTTTGAAAGCTTTGTAGCAGTTAAAAAAAAAAAAAGGACTGTTGATAACAAAAAGATTATGTTCTTTTGACAATAAGCATTTCTGATTGCAGATTAATAAACTTTAATTATGCACATAAAAAGTATCCATCCCAAGAGACTTGTGAAGCCTTAACATTCCACCAAACCTGATTAAAATAGACAGTTAATAATTACATTATAATTTACACCATTTTCAGAGACAAAGTTAAAAATGTCTAAAATCAATTGGCACAATATTTTTGCTCTTTTTTTGTGTGTGAACTGGGGTAGCATCATATATAGTTTATTTGGAACAGGAGATTATTATAAATCATAAAACAATTTAAAAATAAAAAATGGGAAAAACACATTTAAAGAAGCTCAAAGCCTTAGTAGATACATAACAATTATTTTAAGCAACTAAGTTATGTGTATTTAGTTAAGTCAGTCAAACTAGACCACAAGTTATATATGTGTTTTTCCTATTTAATTCCTTCTTTTAACTTAAGATTGCAAAGTTGTGTGAGATAAAGATGAAATAAAAATGACAGAAAAACATTTTCCACCCTAAATATTTTTATTAAAAAATATCTCTTTTAAAGAAATAATATAAAAATATTGTTTAATTAGACAGCTAGCTATCATTTGATTTTCATTTCTGTTATTTCGTAATTTTGAATATAAGTTAATTTGTCAGAAAAAAAAATTCTACTAAGAAAGATTTTGAAAATCATTCTTTTTCTTAATCCCTGTGGCAGAATTTTTTCGGGCTTTCTGCAACAAATTTCCCTATCTCTAATATATTTTGCTTTAAGATACTTTTAATTACAACAATTACGAATTTAAAGTAACGGAAATGTTGTGTTTACAGAAGAAAGCTTTAGAATAAAAATGTATAAAAAAATTTTAATCGTAAAAGTTCTAATACTATATGCAATATTCTCGCATTTTGTAGGCAGAAAAATTGCACTAATTATTTCCTCTTTTGAATTTTGTAAATCATTACACAACTTAAAATTTGTAAATAAATTAAACAATAGTAAATAAAAATCTGTCCATAAATTAAAAATCGTAAAATCCGTGCAGTAACTCCTAAAATAAAGATCATGAATCGCGCAAATAGGATTCTAAAAAAAAGATACTCAAATAAGTGTATGTAAAAACAAAGAAAAAACATCATTTGTAGAGCGAACTATCTTTTAAACTTTCGCTATTTCTGAATTTTTTTTATTTTAGATTATTATTTTGAAATTCTAGCAGAAGCCAGCCATTACAGATTTTTTTTTTAAAATCTCAAATTTGAGTGGAAAAATCATAATTATTTCTTTCCTCTCTGATGCACAAGTAAGATCTCTACAAAAAAAAATTCTTCAGAAAAAAATAACAAATTTCGAGAAATTATACGGGGTTCTTAATATTAAAAAATATTCGCCAAAACTATTTTTCAAACACACAATTTAGGAATTTAAAACATAGAAGAAAAAAAAAAAGTGTTCCCCTCCCCTTAAATCCCACCATGATATCCCAGAGTTCTTTGTTTAGCACATGTATGCATTCCCTTAAAATGTTCATAAAACTATTTTTTATGGCCTATGAGTAAATATAACAATGCTTCTTTATGCGAACATGACAATTTAATGCATTAATTGAAATAAAATTATAATGCAGCATGTAAGAGCTCAACAATTTTATTTCAACTGCAGCCTTTCATTGCTTTGTATGTTTTTAATTAATATTAGAAAACAAATCAAACAAGCAATTTGGTTGATATGTCCTTTGTATTAACTATTCACTTAGCTTAACCAAATATTATTTTTTTCTTCATTAACAGCTTATAAAACTTTATATTAATTTTATAGCTATTTTATTATGAGCATATTATCAAAAGTAGGCTAAAATAAAGGTACAAAATTAGAAAATTAAGTAAAGTTTGCAGGGAAAAAAAGAAAGAAACTGGATTAAATTATAGTCTCAGGGAAGACTTTCCTATCGTGATCTGTGGCAGAATAATCCCCAAATCTTGGAAACTTCCAGGCAGTGGCCCGCGAGAAACTTAAAAAAATATCACAGAAAGGGACTAACTCGAAAGGTATAACATCTGCATGTTATCTTTTTTTTTTTTTTAAGAATTTGTAAGTTTAAAATCTATTTGGCACCTTGGTGATTGTAGTTAGCGCAACAGATCAAGATACGGAAATATCCCCTCTTTTACATTAATTCACTATTTAAAAAAAATAAATAAATAAATAAACTTAAATGGCAGAATTTAAAGGAAGTGTCTTTGGTTGTGACAAGCTAGGTATGAGCTTGCTAATCACACACAAAATAATTTATTGAGGATAATTTAAAGACTCAATTGATTTCAATACAGGAGAAGAAAATATCTTATATTGTAACTACTACTAGGATATACCTTATACAGAATAAATAGTAGTAATACGCAGATTAAAAAAGAGAATATTTCAATATCATAGAATTAAACGGCTTTAAAAAGCATCTAGTTTTAAAAAGATACATATTGAGTTATGATTTCAAATCAATCACATAAAGAAATTTCTGTTTTAGTAAATTCAAGAGCCTATGTTACTGAAATCTAACAGATTTTAAAGCGATATTTCATACAACTAAAAGTTTCATTTTAAAAAAAAGAATTGAAAACAACATTAGCCGCGGAAATTTTCTCGCTTTAATGCAACAATTTTCGGCTACCTATTTCTGCCCATATTAAATTCTAAAAATATTCTCGGTCAAATGACATAAACATCTCAACTTAACTAGTGAGAAAAAGTGCCATACTTCACCTTTCAAGCAAACAGAAATAAGTAGTCCAAAAGGAATTACTAAATAAGTTTTGAAAAAATAATTTTGTTTCAAAAATTTGGAAATAATATGTCAGATTCTGAATTAAAATGGTCCTCTCTTGAATCTAATCCTGAAGTTTTAAATAGATTTTTAAGACATTTAGGAGTTTCTAAAGAGTGGGAATTTGTTGATATTTTATCATTTGATTCAGAATATTTACAATTTATTCCAAGACCTGCGATTGCAGTGCTATTTCTTTTTCCAGTCGAAAACATTAAAAAATGTCCTTTCGAGGCTATAAACTCTGAAGTTGACTGTCATGGAAATAGCGTGTACTTTTTAAAGCAAACAATTTTTAATGCATGCGGTACCATAGCATTAATTCATGCATTAGCAAACAACATTAGTGAAATCGGCTTAGATCCAGAATCTGTAATAGGAAAATTTATTGATGAAACTCAAAAGATGACAGTGGAAGAAAGATCTCATTATTTAAAGCAAAATAAAGCTATTAATGAAGCGCATGAAGCTACGGCTTGGGAAGGAGAGGAGAGGCCAAGTTGGTTAAATGATTCTGTTTGTTGCCATCATTACATCACATTATTACAAAGTGATTCTAAGCTATATCAATTAGATGGATTGAAAGAATATCCAGTATCTCATGGACATACATCTGGAGAAACATTTTTGTCAGATGCTGCTGAAATTTGTTCAGAATATATTAAGCAAGATCCTTCAAATATTAAATTTAATGCTATGGCATTAGTCAAGGTTTCCTAATTAATATGATAAAAATTATGTAACACTTTAAAAAAATGTAATTTAATTACATTGTTGTTTATTTAAATTACTTTATGGAATTTTTTTAAAACTTAGAGCATTTACTAAACTTGATTTTTTTTAAATATTTTTTATTATGATTTTTTGGTAGAAAAAATATCTATATTAAATTACTATGAGCATAAGAAGTTATGTTGTAAAACATCATTATTTGAGTTTTTTTTTATTAACTTTGTTAAAAATTAACATATTACGCTGAGGAGGTAGACGAAATATTTTATTACTGCAGAAGTGTTTAGATCATGCTATTTCCTACACATATCAATAAAGGTTTGAGGGACCAACAATAAATTACAAATGCAAAATAAGGTTTTTGAACACTGTGCGAAAAAATTTAGTAATAGATTCATAACTTGTGACAGTTACTTGTTATAACTTTAAAGATGTTCAATAAAATTAAACAAAATTTTTATGTTAAAATGTGAAGAAAAAAAAATCTTTTAAAACTGCACAAGATATAAGTAATTAAACTAGTTCTTTTATACTGTGCACGTGTGGGAAAAATTTCTGAAATTTGTAGTGAATCGTATTTGGCAACTCATAAAAAAAAAATTATGTTTTGAATATCATAAAAATTTCAAGCAATTTTCAAAGTTAAAATAGTTTTCGTACTTTTTAAAAGATAGCTCAAAATGATATGGGTAATGATAGCACAATTTCTACTAAAGTATTTTGTATCATGAGACAGAATTTATAACAAATGATAATCCCTTACAGTAAACATTCATACAACAAAATGTGATTCAATAAAAAAAGAAAATAGGTGGAGAACAAAAAAAAGGATACTTTTATAGGAGATAATACCAAACAATGCCAGGGTCATTTTTAATAAATCTTGTTTAATAGTCCAAAATGAAATATGTGGAAAACATTGCGGCTTATTTTGAGCTTTTTTTTTTATAAAGTATGAAAACTACTTAGAAAATTGCTCAAAACTTTTTAAATTTTCATGATATTCAAATCTGACTTTATTTATTAGTTGCCAAATACAACTCACTACAAAATTAAGAAAAACATATTCAAATTTCTAAAAAAAAAGAAATTTAATTTGCACACACACAGTTTAAAAGAACTACTTTATCTTGCATAGACTTAAACAAATTTTTCGCAAATTTCAAAGAAAAATTTTATACTTAATTTTAATTGTTCTAAAAATTTTGTTTAGTTTTATTTACTATATTTAAAGTTAAGCAAAAAACGCTAGACAAAAAAAATTCGTCTTTTAAAAAAATGTCAATATTTCCATAAATATTTAAGCTAGACTTTATATTAGTAATAATATAGTTAATGTTAGATTATATGTAATTATTGCCTATAATAACCAAAATATCTGTCACCAGTTACAAATCTTCTGCTACATATGGTTTTCAAAGAAATTATTTTTCATTTGTAACTCTTGTCAGTCCCTCAAACCTCTAAATGTTTTAAACTTCATTGATATGTGAGAAATAACATGATTTAAACCATTCTAAAGTTATAAAATGATTCTCTTAGTATTTCTGGCGAAATATTAAAAAATGCATTAGTATAGAAGTGTTTATTATTTTGGCCACTCCTTGTAGATTTTTCAAATACTTCATTTGATATTATGGCCTTAGCAAAATTTTTTGGATTTACAACTGTTTACATTTTTGTAAAAGGTAAACAAACTATAAATTTAGAAAATAAGTAATTTATTTATTTATTAGTGGTTTTTTCTTCTTCTTTTTAGATTTAAAATTTTTAAATGGGATAATATAACTTATAAGATAGTTGAATAAATAAAATAAACACTTTGTTTTTAAAATTCATTATACTAATTTAATTATACTAAAAAAATTAGGGATATTTCTGTATCATGATCTGTTGAGCTAACTGTGACCGCCAAAACGTCATATGGATTTTAAACTTGCGATTTTGAAGGGGAAAAAAACTTTTAGATGTTTGCCTAGAAGTGGCTACAAGTTATAAACTTCCAGTTGGTCCCTTAAGGTTTTTTTTTTTTTTTTTAAGTTTCTTGCTAATTACTACTTGGGAGTTTCTAAGACTTGGCCAAGATCATGATGGAGAAATGTTCCCTAAAAATTAACAATCTTTAAAATAATTGCCTAAGATGTGGCTTTTGAAGAGTTTCAGCAATTGTAATAATTTCATATTTTGTAGAGTATGACTAACATAGAATGATTGTTTTAATCTGATTCAGGAGCATTTAGAGTTAAAAGCACATATATTTGAAATCAATTTCATCTGCTTGTAAATCAAATCATTTATAGGAAATTAATATAACAATTATATAAAAAATTGATAAGAATTTTTCATTTAAATGTATAGTTTTGAAATAATTTTTTAGTTAATTCATTTATGAAAATTAGTCTTGACAGAACTAATTAATATAAGAAGTTAATGCTAAATCTTCTAAAATAAATTAAAGTTTTTAATTAATGCAACATAATCATTGTGGAAATTCAGAGCAAGTGGTTTGTGTTAGCCTATAGATATGTTACTTCTCAAACTGTAACTAAATTTCTAAAACTATTTCATTATTTCAAACAAATATCCCATTTGATGCCCCTATTCCTTTGTTAATTTTGTTGCAAAAATCTGAATACATAAAGGTGTACTTTATAAATTAACTTTATCATACAGTCAAACTATTTAATTCATAGACCTATTCATTCACATACTATTGTTTTTGTGAACTATCTAGTTATAATAGTTATTGATTGTTTAAAAAGATATGAAACAAATTGCATCAAGTTTATATTTGTAATTGGTAATAATAAAACTTGTTAAAGTATGGTTGCATTAAAATTCACTCTTTGATATTAAAAAAAAAAAGAAAAATTATAAGAATTATAGAATAAAAGTATAAGATGTTATGACATTTGCGATAGCTCCATAAAAACTTTACATACATAAATACTAATGCAAAGAATTGCGAGGTGAATTAGTTTCAAGAATTAAACCTTGTCTACCTTATTCACATACTGTTTTAAATATTAAAGATTTGTAATTGTTTTTTAAGTGTGTTTAACAGATTGGACATTTTAAACATTTTATTTAAAATTGAATTTAATGCAGTCAAGAAAAATATAGCAAGAAGATTTTTATTTATTCATATATAAGAGCTCTTAACTATAACTATCATATAAATAAATTCAATTTGACAATAGAGATTCCAAACAACAAAAAGCTACCGGGTAGCTTGAGAAGACAAAAACATCTAAAGATCAGATATATAACCCATTAACTGTCTAGCTTAAATTTAATTCACATTACAGCTTGTTTTTTATTATTATTATTCAATGGAAATATGTGGAAGGAAGAAAAACCTGTGAATTTTTAAGAAGGCTGGACAGTTAATAGTTACATTGAAACATCTGACAATAGTTACATTTAAATTCATAAATAAATACTAATGTTCATCAGTGTATAAGTATTATATACATACAAAAAAATAATAAGAGTAAGAAACGTCTCTAAGTAGCAAATAATTCAACTGTAGTAAAATGTAATACTTTGACTTAATATTTTCAAAAACACACATCAGAACATATTCTCTTCCATAAATGTAAGTTCTAAGTTTACAATATCTACTTAAAAGCATTTTCAAATTTTGCATTAATAATAATTTTATTGCTTCTAATTAGAATTTTCAATTAATTTTAAGTGTTCAAAATGATGGAAAGCGTATCAAAATATTTCTTTCTTATTCTTCTAACTGAACCATTTCTATAGAAGTATATTATATTGTAGTAAAAAGATGGCTTGTGAAAATAGTTTCTGTTTTTAGCATGAGCAATATTGAAGTGTAAATCTTAAAATCGAAAACAGTGAGAGGAAAGCAGGGAGGTCAGGAATTGCCTTTATTAGGTTAAGGGTGAGAAGTTTGTAGCTTATGCAATTAAACGTAATTATTTCAATAAAGAATTGCAGATATATAATTTTTTTATTAAATGGTTTCAATAAATAAATATATCACTGGTAAATCATCATCTTTGTGAGTAAACTAGTTGATTGGGAAAAGAGGTTCATCATAAGCAACATGAATGTGAACATCAGAATTTATAACTTTTGCTAATTAAGAAAAAATTACGACCCTTATTTATTATTTCCTTAATTTTGTTATCATTTTTTTTTAAATTCACAGTCAGTCCTAAGTATTGTTTATAATTTAGGCAAAAAATATTTCACAAAGATCCGATAATTTTATGCTTCTCATTCATCACAATGCTGTAAGTAATAATGATAAACAATTTTTCTTATCATTTACATTTTACAAAGCTTGTAATAGAGTGAAAAACATAATTAAGAAGTTGAGTTGAGGTTGTATTTGGCAAGATATTAAAATTTTGGTGTATATATATATTTGTTTATAATAGCAAAATTAGGTACTAATGTTTTATTCCATCGATTATTTTTTTATAACACTGCACCAAACTCCCCCTGGTGATTTCCGAATTTATTTTCACATAGTTATTAATAAAGAAATAGATAAAATACAAACATAACTTAAGGCATGGAAAAAGGAGAAAATATTTAAATTTGAATCACATCTAAACTTATTTTCCCATTGTCAAAATAATGAACAAATAATTTTTTTTTGGGAGGGGGTGAATTTTCCTACAACCTTATGTAAAAGAATTTAGCAAGGCTTCCACAGTACCAGGGCATTGTAATAGATAGCAATCTAATGTTAAAGCTGAAGTCTATCCTAAAACTTCTATCTTTTAATTAACAACAGGTAACTATTAAAAGATTACGATTACACCTGAAGTCATGGAAAATGGGAGGTATCCCTCATCTTACTTCGTGGTATCCCAGGGTTCAGGGGCAGGGTGCTTTGTATTATGAAATATTTAGAACATTTCCCCATTATGTATCAAACTGCTTATAATCAAAGTATATTCAATGATATAATCTATACAAAATAAATAAATTGAATCAAATTATATTTTTAACGAAAGCAGTGGCGATGTTTTATTTAAATAGGAAAAGAACTAATACTAATTTAAAAGCTCTTTGATAATAGACTTTCTTTAATTTTACTTTAAGTTCAAAACTTATTCGAAAATTTCTGTGTCAGAAAAAAAGGAACTATTGTTGCTTTGCAATAACAATCTAATATTTTACACATACTTTCTAAATGCAATATATATTTGATGAAATTATCTAAGATAAAATCTTACGACATTAATTCTATCAACTAAATTATTTTTCAAAAAACTAGAATGCTAATTTAGGATAATTTTAGCTAGACTTTTTTCTAGAACATTGGGTGGTGTGTCCATAATTTATGCTTTGTTTATTGATATGCTAAAAGTTTGAATGAAGAATGAATTTGTAATATTGTTTTAATTAGGAATGTATTTGGTAGCAAATTTCTGCACTTAATTTTAATACTAAGGGTCTAAACAACTCTAAGTTACTGCTTAAATATGAAGCATTAGAGAAGTTTTCAGATTGAAAAAAACTTGTCATCACAATGCATATGACGAATTAAGCATTAATGAACTAAACTTAAAAATTTTGTTTAAATAATGTTTTTTCACTAATTAGGTATTAAAAAAAATTTCAAAATCATTCACTACATTATGGATTGCATATTGAAAGACATTTATACAATAAAACATAATAAACAGTGTTAAAACAGATGCCAAGCTCCACTCAGAGGGAACTTTTTTCTAGTGGTAGAAAAATTAAAAATAAATTGAGATTAATAATAGATTGAGATCTATAGATACGGATTACTTTTATTATCTGAAATTTACCAGATTAATCATAATCATATTGTATTGAAAAATTCATATGTATTTATGGATTTGAATTGGGAATTGTTTCTCATGATTCTAACTATAGTCTTTCTCAGTATACTTATTCTTGTTAGTTGTATGACTAAAAGCATTCAAACAAAAATCTTGATTTATTTGACTAGAAAATTTTGATACTTCATCTTATCATAAAACTATTTTTATTATTATTTTCTGTAAATCTTTATTCAATATAGTGTTTTTGTTTAACAGGTGTATATAAAATAGATTAAGTATTATTTTGTCTTTATCTCGAAAATTACGATGAATCTATTTTCTTAAATGTTAACCATTTTCTATTTGGGTTGTATTTTAAAACAGTTAATAGGCAAAGTTCTAATTTAAAAACATTCTTTAAAGGTTGCAATTCACACAAAAGAAATTATAAAAGCTACTTGTAAATAACTAAATATTTTGATATGGATTTAAGACACTTATATTTTAGTTTTATTGCTAACACTAATTCTCTCAGTTTCATTATGTCACAAAATTTTTATTATAGTATCAAAGATATAGTAAATTTAAATATTATAAATTCTAAACAGCACGAATAAAAGTGACTAGTTCTATGAAATCTAGTATACCTTAGATTACACTATAACAACCTATGTAATAAATAGAAATGAATGAAATTCTATCACAGAGAGCTAAAGGAAAATATCATGTGCTTTTGTCAAAGATTCTTCATCCTGTTGTTCCTGACGTCCTTCTTCAATGGACTCAAAATTTGGTGGCCCAAAAGGCAAATGCAATAAGTGTTCCTCAAACTGGAGAATATTTTCTGCTTCACCTAGAAACATATTGAACTTTCATTAAAAACTAATTTACATAATAACAAATATGTAAATAATATATTTGTGCAGATGTGTAAAACATTAAAATAATGTAGTGTTTGAAATTTTGAGTCACAAAATCTGCCATGGAAATAAAGAGTCAAATAAAATATATTTTAAAAAGGGTTTTTATTTGTAGGTGTATATTGAACGTAAATAAGCCTAAGTTCATTAAAAAAAATTCCGTACATTTAAAACTTAATATAATAAGAAACTTTCTGAAACATGAATGAGTTAAGTCAATAAAATCTATTTATCAAAAATTGCTAAATTCATAAAAAAGATGATAATGTAATTATATTTTACTATGTTTTTGGAAACACAATATTTATCTACTATCAAACCTTTAAAACAAATAAATTTTCCAGTTTGTATATTGAACAATTGTGACCTTGACTACCAAAGCCTTCTTTTAGAGTTATTTTTTAATTTAATCAAACTTCTCAAGTAGTTTGTTTTTATAATTTTAAAATAACTCGCTTTTATTTTACTGTCACATTCTTATCTGGTCTTTCTGATCCATTTTCATCTGGAGCTGCTATATTTTATAAAATAAAATTAGCTGTATATGATAAAGCACTTTTTTTTCTTTTTTTAAATAATTTATAGATAAAAAGAGTTTAGAGAAAGTATCTAATAAAGCTGTAAAAAAAATTATATCTGGCTTAGTAAAAAAAAAAATAGGAAAAGTCTCAAAAATATAACTAATTTATAAAGTATTTTGATACATAAAATTTTTAAGATTAATATGAAATAAAAAAAACAGATTTTGATTAAAGCTAATTACACTTTAGATGTTAATTAAAGTTTAGCTTTATGCTTATAAATGTGTAAAAAGTAAATAAGTTATATTAACCTTAAACATTAAGACAAATGAACAATTAATCATTCAAAAATTTTATTTAAATGCACTTGAGAAAAAAAAATAATCACTTACTGTGAATTCTTTGAAGTTTACTACCATATGCAAGGTCTCCTTGATACAGAAAAACAAAAGTCAAAGGTAGAAGTGTTGATAGTATAGCTGGCTTTTTAGTTCGTTGAAACCTTAGAACAGAAAAATTGTATATGTAGAAAAGGAAGTTAATAGAATACTTGATACATGTACCAGATGAATTTTATAACTTAACTTGGTATTTTATTTAAAAGAAATATTACAAGATATCCATATTTTACAATAAATTTATTTTGACTTAAAAATTTATTTATTAGATCATCTGTTGTTTTTATAAGGTTATGATAGAATAGAGTTTCACCTAAAAAAAAGTTTTATCATTTTGATAATTATTCTTTATATTTTTTTAATAATAAATTTCCTTTAAAAAGTTATGAATAAGGTGAAAGTTAATTTCTCAGATATATTTGATTGCAAGTCAGAAAAAGTGTATTATAATTAAGCATCATGTAATCTGAATTCTATTTTCCAGGATATTATTAAGTAGTGAACAGTTTATACTTAAATAAAGATTTCTATTTGAGACTATGAAAATGGAAGAAAAAAATTTCATGCAAAAATAAAATAGTTATGTTTTGAAAAATAAATTTACTATGAAAATTAGAGTAATATTTTCATAACTATATATCTTACGCAAAAAGAGTTGATCCAGCTGCTAATACATAAAAAGTTCCAATCCAATAAAACAACTCTCGAGATTTTGCTATTTGTAAGGCCTGCTTACGCTCTCGTAGTTGATTTCTCATGTGAATTTGTCGCTCAAGCTATAAGAGAAAAAATTCATTAGGACCAGAAGTAGTACAAAGCATAAACAATTAAGAAGCACATTTTAATATACCATCAAGGAAATATTTCCTTATCGGTACCTGTTCACACCAACTATTATCACCAAATTGTCAAAGAGATTTTAAACGAGAAAAATTTTTTTTAAACATTATAGAAGGAAGGTTTTCTCAGGAAAGTTTCTGTATCATGGTCCATGGCAGAATAATTGCCAAGTCTCGACAACTTCCAGGCAGCGGCCTGCTAAAAACATTTAAAAGAAAACATCAGAAAGAAACCAACTCGAAGGGTATAACTTGTAGCCAACCCTGGGCAAACCTCGATATGTTTTATTTTCTTAAATATTTTCCCGTTTAAAATCACTTTGTCGCCAATTGTAATTGGCATGGCAGATCACAATACAGAAATATCTTGTTTGGTCAGTGGTGGCTATGATTTATACCTTCTCAATACCTTTTTAATTATTAGTGGGCCACTGCCCAAAAGTAACCAAAACTTGGGGATTATTTCGCCACAAATATTGATATGGAAACTTTCCCTTTATCAAGTTCCTACGAGGTTTTTTAAAAAAATGTGAAATCTGAATATATTGGCAAATGATTTTTAAAGAGGACCATTGAAATAATTTTATTTACATGGAAAGCCAAAGGAAAAATTTTTTTACAAAATTCTTAAATAATATTGTCGATAAAATATAATAAGCTAATGCTAACTTGTAATCTTTGTAACTGCAACATGAAATCCTGATTTCTTTTAAAATTTTCATCCACCGACTTTCCAAAAAAAGACCCCATCTGAAATAGTAAAATATGATTGAAAAACAATATTAAAAATGAAAACTTTGCAGAAACTAATAAATATATAAAGTGCAATTGTTTAATTTTTAAAAACAGAGCTACACTTTGAAATAAAGAAAAGAACTTAATAAAATAATTACTGTTAAAATAAAGTTTTAAAGGAAATCAATTGATTCTGATTAGGAAAAGGACTGCCGATAAAACAAAATGCTACATAATTAATGATAGAACTTTAATTTGTAATCAACGAAGAATTTCAGAGATGTTCGATCAAAAAATTGAGTGCGAATTTGGCAGGAGATCATAAATAAACAGCAAAAACGAAACTAACATCAAAGTTGCCATTTTCTTCAAAACTATATAACCGAAATATTTCTTACAGGAATTTTTTTTTTTTTTTCATTTCAATATAAACCATTGGAAAGCAAAAATATATCATAAAAGCTTGGAAACATTTATGAATCTGAAAAAATTTAGCAAATCGCACTGTCTTGGCTGACCGCCCTCTTATAACTCTAAACTTTGGCGATCAGCTGAAATGGGTGATTGCCAAACGAAATCTATCGCCAACTGCTTGGAACTGCTTTTTGAACGTGATTGAAAATGGCGAAAATGTTTGAGCTGGACGTACTCGGAATGATTAAGCAATGAAACGAATTCGCTAGGTAAGTCATATTTTTAATTGTAAATTTACTATATTATCTCCAATGTTCTTTCGAATGCTAAGAGCTGCACCATTTGCTCAATTAATTCAAAATGCCTTGGATATTTTTACTTGCTACCCATATATTCCAACTACCTCACTACTGAAATCAGTTATTTTGCATCTATAGTTTCCTGTCATATCATAAACAAAATTATTTTTCAAAGCCATTTTCTAGATTTGATTGAGCTGGATTTTATATTTTGTCATCATGAAAATTTTATTTACAGGTAATTCTTATTAATTAAAGATTTATAATATAAGTGTATGTTTTAAAAGCATTATATTTTAAAAAATCATGAGATTTTGTTAATATTAAGAGATCATACTAAATTTCCTGAAAATGCAAAGATTTAGAATTTAAATTACATAGTTTGTTTTCCTTTATGTGTAAAATTTATGTATTTTTGAAAATCATAAACCAAAAGAAAAAATTTTCATTTATCAAAGTTTTTCCATGTTTCCAGAAATCTTTAGTTAGATTGTCTAAAATTAGCAACGCAGTTTAGTAATGAAATTTTTTAAATTTAAATGATGAGTTGATTTACGTTTATTTCAGAGACATAATACAAAGAGATTTTTTTTCTAGAAAATATATTAATTAAATTTTATTTTGATAGGAAGCTTTTGTATTGAATTTTCTTCATAACAGGGGAGAGTTCTTAAATCATATTCAAAATAGTTTTGTTTCAATTTTATTATAAACTTATGTTAAAAAGAAATTCTAAATATGAATCTGTAAAGAAACAGAAAAATTCTTATTTTGAATTTTAGATAATATTTATCATTTTCGTTCACAATTACTGCTCTTATTATTCTTTTAGATTGTCTAAACTATTACATAAATTATGAGCATGCATACTATAATCAAGAAATTTTATTCTATATGTATCACATTTATGTGCAAAACAATTTGTACACATAATTTAATTTTTATTTCAAATGCATATAAAATTATTATATTTCTTTAGAATATAACTCATATTAACAAATTAATAACAATTTAAATTAACTTATTTAGATTTTAATTTGAAATTAAATTTTTCATTTACTACAAACTATTTATATTTTTTTCTATCTATAATTTTTATTTTCTCAAAATTCCAAGATTTTTTACAGTTAATGTTTAAGNTAATGATTGAAAATGAAAATTTCAGTGTGAGAGCTGCTGCCAGAGCTGAAGTGTTAATCTTTATTCCTGATTTTAAATAAACAGTTTTATTAGCTGCTTAAACATATCTTTTTGGTTTATTTGTTTGATCTTAATGTCTTATTTGTTAATTACCATTGTATAATTATTTTTAAACAGCCCATTTACTATAAAAACTGGTGATCAGTAATTACCCCAGAAATGATCAGGATTTACCCCAGAATTGATCAAGAGAAGGGGTAATTCCTGATCACTAAAAATTTAAAATCTTTTAAATTCTAATTAGATTTTCAAACAAAAGAAGGTAGCATAGGACTCATCTCATATAGCCTCAAACTTCCAGAAAATATTAAAATTCTATCTTGAAAAGTTTTTTCACAAAATAGAAGTTTGCATTTTTTGATCAGGAATTACCCCAGGTCACCCTAGTAGTCATTTAACTTAATGAAGAATGGATTACTAAGTAAAAAATAATTTTATTTAATAAAGGGTGTATTTTTTTATATATTTTATAGTTTTATTCTGTAAGGGCTGTATTCTCTCTTAGATTTGTTTTATTCAATAAAGGGTATATTCTTTTCTGGTTTTATGTGGAAGTAGTGTTTCTGGCACTATTGTATGATTAAATTTTTGCACATAGTTTCAAGCTTACAATAATAAAAAGTACTATACAAATGGTTAAAATTTTCAACCATTTACTTTCAGTTGACACAATTTTTACCATACTAGTACAAATTCCAATTGAAACTGCATTAGAAGAAGTTAGAAATGGTTTTTATAGCTAAGAAGTTAAAAAAAAAAAAAAGTACCTCTAAAATGTTTTTTTTTTATTTACTATGGTTAAACTGTAAAAAAGGAATATGCTTAAAGCTAAACAGTGTGAAAAGATCACAAATTATGTCATCCAAACACAGACATACTATAGTTGTAAAATGAAGTATCTTCTACAGATAGCCTCTCATTTGCTTTAATTTTCAAAAGAAAATTAAGGAATCAATGATGAGAAGTTTGAGATGATATATTATTTCTCCTTATTCTATTTTATTATCTTTCAATAATTTAGGCCTTAAAATTTCCAAAGTTACTACATTTTGAAAAATTCTAGTGATTTAATGAATGACTTTTCTAGTATCTCATTATTTCCAATTTTTTTGGAAATCTATATTCTTTTAATATCTACATGTAGGACTCTTTATCTCTACTGCACCTGTTTCTTAGTTCCCTTTGTTTGATTTCTTCTTTTTAGCTAGTTCCTCCTGTTCTGTTGGTCAAACCTTTTTCTTTTCTTTTTTTCATTTCTATAACTTGTCTGTAATTTTCTTTTGCATCTCTGTGTTTCTCTTTTCCATTCAGTATTATGACAATGAAAAATGCTCTTCGTTTAGAACCATCTCTATTTATGTGGGTTTGTTTATATTCTTTTCATGTTCAGCTACATTCTTATAAAGCAGTGTTTCCCAAAGTGTGGTACACGTACCCCTAAAGGTACGGGAACAGTTTATAGGGGGTACGCGTTCTTCTGCTAAATATCTTGGAAAACACGAACATTTCAAAAATTTATATATTTAAAAACAAAGCTAGCCATGAAAATTTACGATTACGTATTTCTGTATTGACTATTTTTTACAGAGTTATCAGTTAATATTTAGTGGTGTCAACAGCCAGTTGTCATTTTTAACTTTTGTGCAATTTTTTTTATTGTAAAAAATACATTCATTTTTTTATCAGTGGTACACAGCGTTGCGAAAAATTTAGAAGGGGTACACAAAAGACATAAGTTTGGGAAACACTGTTATAAAGCATTATGATAACTTTTTCTTCAATCAAAAGATTATATTTGATAATACATTTGCTTATTTTATGTATATTTTAGCTATTATACGTGTAAGATATAATAATTATCAAAGAATTCTACATTTTGTTTTATCTTTTTCAGATTCAAAATCCTCCCATTTGCATTTAGTTTGAGAGGCAAACCAATCAAAATGTAGGATGTTATATAATCTTTCTTATTATTCTGTTATATTATCTCTATAATTTATGTTTTAAATTTTATAAAGATACTAAAATAAATGGCAAAGAAAAGAGAACCCTCTCAAAATCAACCTCCCTGCTTTAGATCCAAATCAATGGAGGACGATAAAGAAAACCTATGTGCTGATGGTGCCATGAGATTCAATATAACTTCTTATCCTAAAGAAGCGTTTGAGGTTATGTGTCTTATGCGGCAGCACCAAAAGCTGTGTGACGTTGAGATTCGTGTTTGTAATGAAATTTTTCATGCTCACAAGATTGTGTTAGTGTCTGCTAGTCCATACTTTAAGGTAAGTACTTTTTTTCCCCCATTTATTCAGTTTTTCCAGCATTTTTTTTTCGAGTTATTTTGTGTGATATTTTAAATAAAATTAAAATGTGTTATTCAAACATATAATTTCTCAGAATTATATGAATAAAACAGTAGAGATATAACTTTCAACAAAGTGAAAAATTAATGATTTTTACCTTGCAATTTTGAAAATTGTATGGATGCTAATAAAATGACTTCAAGTCAAATTTTAGAATCTTAAATAAAAGAAAATAGAAAGTTATTTTTAAATTAAGTTAAATGAAGAAATTATGTTCTGTATGTTAAGAATGATTCAACACTTAAGAACTGATCTATTTCATTAGTGTTCAATCTATTCAATTATTAACTGATCTATTCAATTATTTTAACAACTTTAGTTATACTTTTAACATATCCAAAAAGTTACTCAACAATTTTTTTAATTTAAAATATTTCTAGTGAACTGTCTTTTTTCTCTCCTGCTTATCTTGTCTTAAAGTATAATTCATCTCTTTGATTTTCACATTTTTCTCTTGTTATTGATTATTTTATGTAAGCAGAACTCAAAGCTGAAAGAGTTAGAGAATTTCTAAAATTTGTAGTTAGAGCTTAGATTCTTAGTTATTACACTTTTTTAAATAATGTTCTCATGAATTAGTAAATTCTAAACCACGTCTTATTATTTTAATGTTTTTTTTTAAATGAAAAAAAAAAATTTATAATTTTACTTGCCTTTTTCTAAAATTTCCAACACGAGGATATTCTTTTATTCTTTCCAATTCAGATACATTAAGTATAATGAATAATTTATTTTTATAAGTTACTAAATAATATCAATTTATATTTTTGTTTTCCATATTTTTGCTAATTTTTAAATTGCTTTCAAAATAGAATTATTACTGAAAAATAAGTCTTTTCTAATTTTTTTCTTTTTCTTTCTTTGTATTTGTTGGGGTTAAAAAGCATAAAAACTTTTTAAAAAAATATTTTAAGAGGGTCTTTTAATGTAATGAAATAAAACATTTTTAAAAGTATCAAATATCAATTTAGAATTAAAATAGACGTGGTACATAATTTGTTGACTTAGAAACAATTTTTAATGTCATATTTTTTATTTCTTACTATTTCAATATTATAAGAATATTTTCAATTAAAATATTTCAGGCTATGTTCACGAGTGGTTTAAAAGAGTCTGAAATGTCAGTTATTAATATCCAAGGTGTTTGTCCAATGAGTATGGCTATTATAATTCATTTTGCTTACACTGGGCAAGTTAAAATTGAGGAAAATAATGTGTGCAATCTACTTCCTGCTGCAACTATGTTTCAAGTTAGTATTCTTAAAACTGTTTTACAAAAAGTATTTAACACTTTTTTTTAGTGTTATAGTGGAATAATTTATATCAGGCCTGTAAATTTTAAAAATGTATGTAATTTTGTTAAAAATTGTCTCTTTCCCTATTTTATTTGAAAAGTATATCGATGTAAACTAAATTTTTGTGATTCAAATTAGATAGATATTGATATTGACCATTTGTGGAAACGCAAATTTTAGTCTGACAAGAGATAAGCAACTGTGACCACAGTCAGTTTATTCTTATTGAAGGGGCACTTTATCTATTTGTTGCTTAAGTGATGGTATCTAAAAATTGGTGAATGTTTAGAAGCAAGTATCTTTACATTTCTAATGGCTTAATACATTTTTGGATTAAGTATTGCCAGTGGTTACACTGCAAGCGAAAGAGTAAATAAAAAAAACTTCAAAATCTATAAAAATATTTTTATAAAAATACTACTCTGTTTGAATATTTCTCAAAATGAATTCATAATAAAGTAATTCTAATTTCTATTTCTTGTAAAACTCTATATTTTCAGAGATTTTTTGCTTGAACTTTCATAGTTTGTATTTTTTCATTGCTATTTTTTTTGTTTTAAATTACTTTTTACAAGTGTTACTTACTAATTTTTTTTAAAGAACAATCTAAATTCATTTATTAACTATTTCACGAAATAATATTAAAAATTTTCTCTTTTTTTTGGTAACTTGTTTGTAATTGTATAATTTTTAGGTGCCTCACATTATAAATGCTTGCTGCACATTTTTGGAAAAACAGCTGGATCCTAGTAACTGCATTGGAATAGCTGATTTTGCTCTGCAACATGGATGTAATAATTTGTATTCTGTAGCTAATCAATTTATAGATCACCATTTTTCTCAGGTAGAATTAAATCTTCATGTGTATCTTACTATTACTTTATTTAAAGGATTAATTTTCATATTTACTGATGCATAAATTCATAATACTGATACATAACATTAAAAATACGTAATACTGATTTATAACACTGAAAATACATAATAACAGGGTTGCCACAGGCGACTAAAATGCAACTATTTGCAACTATTTTTAGCATGAGGCGACTATGGCTACTTTTTTTGCCTGAAAAGACTGAAAAAGCAACTATTTTCAAGAAAAGGAGACTATTGGGAGACATTTCTGTACTCCTAGAGAGGTTTTTTTTTCTTTTTCAAGCATAAATTGGTGAAAAATCTACACCCCGCTAGATAGTTCCTAAACACACTGGACTTTTTTTTTCTTAAAAAATAAAAAATTTTAAAAATTTTGAATTGCAAATTTGAGTTTTCACTTTTTAATTCGTTCAATCTGCTCAAATTTCATTGTAAGTCTATTTAATTTCTCGATCACCTTTTCAATGATTATTGCTACAAAATTCTGCATGATTTTTTTGATTTTTTTAAAAAAAAAAATTTTAACAGTATTACAACGCATGAATTTCGAATTTTAGTAATCACTTTTCATATATATATATGAAAATTATCATATTTGCCACCAACTTGACTGAATGGATCATGGATGACAATTAAGTCATTAACAAAATTTTAGTCATATTTTTGATGAATTTTTGTTCTTATTAGGCAACTATTTTCCTAGTTTTTGGCTACTATTTTCATGCTTTAGGCTACTAAAAGCAACTATTTTGTTCATATTTTTCGGTGGCAACCCTGATAATACTGATGCATAAATGCGTGAGTACATTGATAATAAAACAATTTCCTTATTCCGATGCATGCATGTTAGAACAATTTTCTGTTTGAATTGTAAAAACTTTGTGTTTTATGTTTTTATTAACATATTTATGCATTGTGACTTTTAATTTATGACATAGAGTTGATATTTTTTTAAGGTTTCCCAGGGGGATGAATTTTTGGCTTTAAATGTTTGCCAAATGATCTTGCTTATAAAAAGAGATGAACTGAATGTACGTAGTGAGATGGAAGTATTCAATGCTGTTCTTCGCTGGGTGAGGCATGATAAAGCTAGAAGATGCCCAAAATTACCAGATATCTTAAATGCTGTTAGGTGTCATTTCTTGACACCGAGGTTCCTTAAAGAGCAGATACAAAAATGTGAAATTTTAAAAAATGAGCCTCAGTGTTGTGATTACCTTAGTCGTATAATTCAGGTATGTTTACATTATTTGATAATTACTTTATTTCAAAACTATCTTTTCTTTTTTCTAATTAAAAGAGTAGAAGAATAGTGATGTCAGCAGCATTGAGATTAAAACTTAAGAATTTGAATATTTTTTTATTCTCTACTAGTTATTTGTTTAAGAACAAGTTCTTGCTACTTATTTCAAATTAGATTAGATTTCAAATTGTTGCAGAAAAGCATATATCTTCAAATACATCTAATTTGGAAGCAAGAAGTTTTTTCTATATACTTGTTATGTTATTTTATGTTTTTTTTTTGTGTTACTTGTATAGCAAATGGAATTTATATATTTTATGCACCTTTCGTCTTATATAAAGTGTCATTTATATTTTGCATTCTTAATTTGTTTTGAACAGAAAATTGTTCAACTAATTTAATTTAATTCTGAAAAAAATAATAAACTAAAATTGATTTTTTTTTTCAAATGTTTTACTTGTTACCACATTTAAAATTTCAATCTTTATATAATTTTATATATTTTTCTTTTACAGGATTTAACATCGCGTCGAAAATATAGTTGCAATCAACGTACTCCAAAAGTTCCATATGTGATATACACTACTGGTGGTTATTTGCAGCATTCCTTAAGTAATATGGAATGCTACAATGCGCATGAGAAACAGTGGTTCTCATTGGCAGATCTTCCTACTCCTCGGAGTGGGCTCGGAGGAGCTTTCATTGATGGCAAATTCTATGCTGTTGGGGGTCGAAATAACTGTCTCGATGGAAATCAAGACTCAGATGGTGTAGATTGTTATGATCCTATTACAAATAAATGGAAATCGTGTTGTAAGATGACTGTTGCAAGGAATCGAGTTGGAGTTGGTGTGTTAGATGGTTTACTGTATGCTGTAGGTGGATCAAAAGCCACTACTCATCATAACTCTGTGGAAAGGTTTGAAGCTAGCTTTTAGTTTTTATATCTATATAATATCTAAAAAAAAATAATAATGTGTAGCTAGAATTAAGAGATCTAGAAAAGAAACCTAAAAATAATTATGTATATACAGTCAAACCTCGATATCTCGAACTTGAAGGGAGAAGAGAAAAAATTCGAGATATCGAAAATTCGGATTATCGAAAATCGCATGTTATCGATGGTAGAATGAAGAAAAATGTTCTTTACATAACTTATTTACTATTCCATATTTATTCTAAAAACACTTTTTAAACTTTCATTTAAAAAAAGATTCAATTGTTGTTTGCTTTAGAGATGTGTAAGAAAGTTTGTCTATTAAACTTTCTAAGTGGACTATAGCTTTAAATGTCTCCTCTGACATATTTGGCTGCCTCTCAATAAATCTCCTTACAGTGTCCACTGCAGAAAGTGCTTGTTTGTTAGTAATATTGGGTGGTAAATCTTCGATTTCCTCATCCTCTTCTTCTGATAGTTCACGAGAAGCTTTCGTTTGAGCGATGATATCATTGTCACCCCACTGACTACACACTGTNTCTTAGCTTTCTTATCTATGTTGAAAAGCTAACCCCTGGTGGTCACTACTCATTAACCCCTCACTTACTGCCAGAATCATTGTATTCCTTTCTAGTTTAGGAAGTGCAGGGGTAGTGATTGAAATTCCAAGAATCACCCCAACCTGTTAATCCCTATTTCCTGTGGATTCACGAAATTCATCTCTGTCTACGAATTCTACTAAAAAGGAAAGTTTTGACATTTGTGCTCTATTATTAGAAATTCGAGAAACGGAGGTTTTGAAAAATAAATTTATTTCGACATAAACATGGAAAATACATTGATTTTAGACAGTAAATTTAGGGAATTTTAAAAATTTCGAGATATAGAGGTTTTCGAGATAAACAGGTTCAACTGTATATTATTTATTTATTATTTTTTTTTGTAGATAAGTCTTTCTTAACAGACGAGAATTTTTTAATGATTTCTTTCACATAATTTAGTATCACTTTACATATGAATCATCTTAAATTTGTTAGACATGTAAACTATATTTATAAAATCAATCTTTACTGCATAGTAAAATGTTATTTGAAACCAAAATACCATTTATTTTAAAAAATATTTTAAATTTTAATAACATCTTCATCTGGTCTCCTGACTGCTTGTGCAGTTGAGTTCAAATGCAAATGCCTAGAGAATATGTATCGCATAAATTAAAAGCCATACAAAAACATCTATGTATGCATGACAAAAGCCATATGGTATATTAAAAAGTGTAAATAATGGCTTTTTTAAAATGAAGGTGTAAAGATATCTTAAAGGAGTTTCGACTTCCTGCAATTAAATTATAAATTGTTCAATTTCTTTACATTTTATCTGATGTAATGTATATATATTACTAAAGCATTTCTGTGCAATATTTTCTTTTATTTATTATATCAGTTTTAAAAATGAATCATAAAACATGTAAAGAATATTAGTTGCCTGTGCCTGATTTTTTGCATTGAGGTTCTGAAAAATGAACTTATCTCCTAAATTTGACTTTTATTTAAAAATTATGTAAATAAATTTGTGAACACAATTTGAAAATTAAAACTTTTCATAATGCATTTAAAAATTAATAAGTTTGATTTAAAAAGTGAACTCTGCTTTCTCAAACATCATGAATGGTTATTACAAATTGAAAAATTATTTGGCTTTAAAACAGAATTTTTTTTTTCTACTTTTTAATAATGTACAAAACCAAATTTATATTGAATATTATTATAATTTTCAAATTTAGTTTGGAATATAATAGTACCTTTAAAATAATTTTCAAACAAAACATGTGATGTACCATAAATTTTATTATTTTAGATATGATCCATCTGAGGATAAATGGTTTAAAGTCCAGAATATGTTAACTGCAAGAATCGGCGTGGGTGTTGCTGTAGTTAAAAGACTCTTGTATGCAGTGGGTGGTTATGATGGAAACAGTAGGTTGAATACTGTTGAGTGTTATCATCCGGAAAAGGACTCGTGGACACCAGTCGCGAGCATGAATACAAATCGAAGTGGTGCAGGTATGCATCTTCTTCAATTCTACAGTTGAAAGGGAAATAGTTTGATGTCTGATTTATATAGATGTCTTTAATTATATTTGGATTTTTCAAACAGAATGTAATTTAAAAATAATGTATGTAAGTTATAAAATATAATAGTCTCCAAGTAACACATTTGGGTCTACAAGTGCCTATAATAGAACAAAGGATGTTGGGATTTTTGAAAGAACAAAAATAAATAGAAAAATTGTTTTTATAATTAGAAGAAAATCCAGTGATTTTTTTTTATTTTTTAACTCAATAAATAAAATGGTGATACATTTAAAATTTATTTTGATTCATTATTGAGAGCCATAGAAATAAATAAAAAACTCTTAGAGATGAATAACTATTATTTTTTTTTTATGTGTGTTTTGTTTTTTATTTCTGAATGTGTTTCTTTAAGTTTTTCATTTTATTTATAATGATAAGTCATATAGTTTATTTCCTTAATTTGATTTTCAGGAACAAAAGAATTTTGTATTAAGACTGTTTGGGTATCGTTTAAAACTGCTTTCAAAGTATGAAATAAGTACATAAGAACTAAATGAGTAATTTAGTTTACTCTTATCTAAATAAGCTATTGAATTTAAATTTGTTGTATGGAAATTTGTCTACAAGTTGGCTTTTTGAAATAAAATGCATACTTAGTTTTCTGATATAAATTCGTAATTTATTTTTAGGAGTTGTAGCCTTAGATCATTATATTTATGCTGTTGGTGGCTATGATGGTGCTCTTCAACTAAAGTCAGTAGAAAAATATGACACTGAATCTAATGAATGGGTCTATGTATCTTCTATGTCTTCACCTCGCAGTGCATTAAGTGTAGCTGTATTAGATGGAAAAATATATGCCTTAGGTACTATATCTTATTTATTTATGTTTCTTCATTTTATTGTTTTTAGAATTTGTTCCCAAATGCACTTATCTAAAAGATTTATAATATTCATACTTATTATATCTCAGTTTGTTGATTTTTGAGCAGTTTGTCTACAGAAACTGAAAAGTGAGAATTTACTCTGTTAGTTTTTAAACTAGTACCTAAATCGAAGTAAAATCGTTTGTCATTTAGTAATGGAATGCGATAACATATCCTTATTTGATTTTTTACTTGTACACATAAAAAGTTTAGATTTTTGTTTATTTTCACAAAATTTTCCAAGCAATCATAGATTTTTATAACATTTAATCATTTTCATTTACAAGTCATGCAAACAATTATTCTTCAAAGACTTACACATTTGAATATGATATATTGTTGTTGCTGTCTTTAATAAAAATAAATTTTTTTTAATGTATATTCCACAAAATGAATTCATGTTCTAAATATATGGTTACTTTGATATCCTTCACATTGAATGTATCAAAATTGCAGATTTTCAGTTGCTAAATGCAACAATATTAAGTGTTTTACTAAGCTAAATTAAATTTGAACTTTTACTTTAAAAGTACAATTAGTTATAGCTTGGTTCTTTTAATGGTCATCAGCATTTAATTTAGTTTAAAAATAAGTTGTAAATATATTTTCAATTATTATTAAAGCATCTGTTAAAGTCTTTATTAAAAAATCCTACGCACAGTCTTGTAGTGAGAGCTCTCTGATATTTATTCACAAGTTTTAATGTAATTTTATTATAAATTATGAATAAAATTTTTTAAAATTTGAATTATCAATGCTATTTATGTTTGCAAATTAGAAATAGGTATGACATTGTTTCAATTCAAAGTAATATACTCTAGAGATTGAAGAAAAGTAACTAATGGATCATCCACTAAAATATCATTGGAACATAAATGCTAAGCACTATATTCATTGTGTTTTTGTTTTGAGATTATTACATTAAAAATTATTTGATGAAAAGTCTGGAACTTAATCAATATTAATTTTTAATTAAATATTGATTTGAGCAACTATTATCTAATAGATGGTGAGTGCTATAAAAGTTTTCCTACATTGATCTCAAACTATTATGAGTTGTTTAGTGCTCCCTTTCTAAAGTTTGACTGGAAACTGTTAAGATTTTCTGTTCTGAACAAAATAATTCTGAAATTAAAAATTTTATATTTTGCTATTCTTTTGTGATCTAATGATACATATTAGCACATTTATATAAGTATATTCATTATTCGTAATGCATTCTTTTTCTTGCTTCTCACACTTTAGATATTTCAGTTTTCAGCTCTTTGTTACAAATGCAAAAAAAAAAAAAAATTAATCAGACAATTTGGGCCTTAGTATTATTATATAGATATTGAATTTCAAATTTTAGCATCTTTTACTCACAAAATAATTCTTTAAAGTATTTTGTTCAAAAACCCAAACTCCAATAATTCTAGTTAAATGTTTTGATATTTATACTAAAGTGGAGTTAAAAAAAGTATTTGTTATTTGAGATTCATCTTTTATTTGAGTAAGAAAATTATTGTCTAGAAGTTTGGCTTTATCATTTACAAAATGAATAAATAAACTTGTCTTAAATAAATTTCAGGAGGATATGATGGAAGTAACTTTTTAAATACAGTTGAGGTGTATGATCCTGAAAAAGATCTGTGGGAAGCAGCCCCAGATATGTCTTGTGGTCGAAGTGGTCAAGCTTCTGCTGTATGGAGAGCTCCATGCTTAGCCCATGGAATATCCTAGCAGTCAAATGGCATTTGATTAAAAGGTCTTTTTTAAGATATTAATGACAGTAGAGTTGAATAAGTTATAATCGAACTAGGGAAAGATGTGGAATGGTATTTTTATAGCTGTATTTTATTTAACGTGTTTTTATTCTTTGTGTTATGTTATTTTACCTTATATCATGTTTTCTAATTGTTAGAATGTGTGACACTTAAAATAATTATTTAAATATACCTTAATGTAATGAGAAAATAATTTAAATATTTATACTAATTTATTGCTATAATAAATTATTACTTTTTTTGCTATTGTTTATTGCTATTTTCATAATAATTTATGTATTTCACAAGAGTCTTAGTTGCGTAAAATTACAATCATATCAACTATTTTATGCTTTAGATAAAATTTTGATACTAACAGAAACAATTTTCTAAGTTCTTTTACTTTATGTGCAATTAGATTTTATAAGCATGTTGTATAATATTCAATTTTACATTTAAGTGATTTGATAGATATCTAGTTGAGTATTTAATTAAAGCTGATATTTAATTAAAAAGAAGTTTCCAAAAATTACATTGAAACTAACATTAAACCATTTACAAATAATAACAAAATGTATCAACTCTGCATTGTGTTATTCATATTCTTTTGTATTATATTTATTCCATTTTCAGTTCTTTTTTTTAAAAATAGATTACAGTATTTTAAAATTTTTTTTTTGGGGGGGGGGAGGGGATAAAAATTCCTAACCTTAACTTTTTTATTAATGCTTTATTTATTCTTAATTAGGTTGTTAAAAATACAGCTGCTTACAAAAAAATAATAATTTAAACATAAAACTAGTTTTTTGGCAGTAAAGCATGAGTCAAGTCATTTCATGAAAACGACTCTTTTGTCTGCACTTGGCACATGAACAAAAAGTTGACTTAAAGCAATGAAACAGGAAAAAAAAATAAAGATTTTTTAAAATCAAAACATGTAATGTTAAAAAATTTCCATGAAGAAATGATAAAGAGTTCACAAAACAATTATAGTAATATCCATTTTTTTTTCAACTTGTTATATCTTTAAAAAAAAATGACAAAAAACATTGGTTAAGTTTACATCATTGCCCAAAAGTTTTAATGTTAAATATTTTTCCCATAAATCACAAAAACTTTTTTTTTGTATTTCATTAAAGAAACTTAATGCGATTTTTGTTCATTTGTACCTTGCACTTGAAATGATTTTCATGTCTTTAAATTTGGTAATTTTTCAAACCAAGTGACTAATTTATATATATATATATATATATACAATAGAGCGCCGATTATCCGAACGTCCAATTATCCGAATTCTTTTTTTTTAAAGCTTATAATACTTTTCAACTTATTGACAATTTTTCTAAATTTAAAAGAACAAATAATATCAACAACATCTGAAAAACATATTTAATTTACAACCTTTTTTAGTAGCTATACGTACATGTATTGTTATACAGTTAAACCTATATGCCCCTTTAGCCCTCTTCAACTGAAAATTAACTTCCAAGAATGCGAGTTTCATTTTGACAGTTTACTATGGTTGGAGTGCGAGAGGAGTTTATGTGTAGATAAGTGCTGAAGTTTTACAATTGGAGGAGGGGTAGTTGTCACTTATGGTTAATGATTAGAGGTTACAGTGCTTGGAATCTTAAATCTTGGAATAAAATTCTGAACACAAAAGCAAACGAAACTGAAGTTTCTCAACCAGTAGATCTTCCGGATGAAAAGATTACGGGTGTCGAGACTCTGAAAATGACCCAGGATTTCAAATTTTAAAAGATGATGAAATTGTTGCTGAAATTTTAAATGAAGATCGGAACTCCACAGATGAAGAGGATCAAGTTCAAGACAGTGGACCTTCTCATGCAGAAGCAAGCAATTCATTAGATATTGCAATGAATTGGCTAGAAGGTCAAAATGATATTGATCTGGTGCAGTTGATTTATTTAAAAGGAATAAGGGATACGGCTGCTCAAAAAAGAGCATCTTCTTTGAAACAAAAGTCTTTGCTGGATTTCTTTTGTAATGGAAAATAAAGAAAAATGTGGTAAAGTCAGTAATTGACAAAAAAAAAAAATTATGAAAAGCTGAATGATAATTCAAAATTTTAAAAAAAATTTAAGACTCGCCAGAGCTATTTTAGATAGTACTGCCAGTTCTAAGCCTAGAAAAAGTGTGATGGGACGTTAGTGCATAAATAATAATCATTTAAACTAGATTTTAAGCATCTTTCCAATTATCCGAACCACTTTCGGTCCCGAGCAGTTCGGATAATCGGCGCTCTACTGTATGTGTATATATATATATATATCTTTTTTATCCTAAATATTTTGTTCTATTGGACTTGTTAATGAACTATTCTAACTGGTTCTTCATCATCAAGTAGTAATTAAAACCCTTTGAAATACATGGTGATTTTTAAAAAAGTATATAGTATATGTTGTTATATTTATTATTATGTTCTCATTACATATTGGTGTGTTACAGTGCTACCTTACTTACAGTGAATCTTACCTAAAGTGATTTCTTTAGTTTAATAAAATGTATAATAATATTTTAACTAACGTTTTATCATCTATAAATTTATATTAATTTAAAAAACTAATTTTGGATTAGTTTTGCATTATGAGTTTAAGTTCTAAAAATTTTTTGTTTGTAAGGGTGTATAATAACTTTTGCACAATTTGCTTTAAAATATATGCATTTCTTGATTTAGATGTATATATTTATTAAATTTCACTGTTATGGTGGAATAAAGTGTCCATTTTTTTCTTTCTCATTCAAAATTTTTAGAAATATTTTAGGGAATTAAAATTATCGATTTAAATTTTTATATATTCTAGTGTTATTTTTTATTGGTTTATGTATGTAAATAATTTTAAATGACTTTTGTTTTATGTTATCTGACTGGGTTTTACTTCATTTCTTTCTTGTTGCATTTAGCAATATAGTAAGAAAAAAGTCTATTAATTAATAATTGCTGCCAAAATCTACTGTTTTTTTTCTTTCTGCTTAGTGTGCTTCTAGTCTTTTTATAATTGTGTATATTGGTGAATTGATTCTGTATATTGGTTAAACTACCATTGGTTTTTTCCTTTGTAAATATTATTGGATGTCAAGGCCAAGTGATTTATTTTATTTTTTTTAAGAAAAAAGCTCAAAGAATTGTTTTTTGAGAAGAGAACATGGTATTTTGCTAATAGTTAGAGCTTGATTATTGCAGCTTATTAACAAAGTTTATGTTTATTTATATTCAACTGTGGAAACAGTTGTACTATTGACAATAATGATGCCATGGGGCTGTTGCAACCACTAAATAATTTATTAATTTGTCCGCTATCATTCATTTTATAAGAGAATATGCTTTCTCCATAGTGAATAAGAACATAATGCAGAAACTGCTTGTTTCCAACAAGAACAGTCATATTCTCACTTGTTTTATAAATGTTATTTACAATTTTCTGCACATTTTGTGTGCGATCTCTTAAATATAATCCTATATAATATAAATAAAATGTGTTGTACTTCTTTTTTACTTGCATGCTAAAATTATCAGTTATATAAAATAATCAATTGATAAATTGAGTCACAAAATAGTTAAAGTACTACTTATATACTTTAACCAGTGTGTAAATTCCTTTCTTTATTTCACTTATTTAACTATTTATTCGATTTACCTATTTTTGAATGATATCTTAAGTGAAATAACTGATTAATTAATTGAAATACATTTTAAATGTTTGTTTGTTTTTTAATCTGTTGAATTTGTTTTACATACTACATATCACTGTTGTAAATTATTTGATCTTAACTAATTTGTTTAATTTAATACATACCTCTTAACTCTTTCAGTATTAGTTTGAAAGCGTAAAGTAGGGAGGGACTACTTAATCTTCTATATTAGATGTTAGGTAAAATTTTTAATAAAAATAACTTTTTTTTTTATAAATAAGTAAGTTTTTATTTTAAATTTTACATTTGAACAGATAAGAATAATTTTTAATATTTTAGTGCTTAAATAAGACTTTACATTGGTTTTTTCTACCCTAGTTTAGGATGGAGGTAAACTCATTGTTATTTAAATGTTACTAATTCATTTAACAAAATTTTTCAAACAAAATATTTCATTGCCAATTCTAAACAAAAGCTTGGAGGTCTTATTTTTGTCCCTATGAGTTTTCTAGTAACATTTTGCGCTAGCATTTTAACTAAAACTGTAGAATCGGTTGTTGAAATGTTCAAATATGATACTGGACTTTTCTTATAACCCTACTAACTAATGCTATGTTAAAATTTTTACCTAATCCTAGGAAAGAATTAATCATATATTTCAAATTTTCTTATAATCCATTAGAATTAAAGTTGTTTTATTTCAAATTAAATTTTTTATTGTTACATAATTAGTTTTGTAAGATAATTAGTTTAATAAACGAAATAAATTAATTTTAAGACAAGTTTTAATTTTAATAATTGTCGTAATATTCATTCGAATAATATTTTTGCTCATATAATTATTACAATAAACTTATTTTCATATAAATTAAGGAATTCTTTCAATTTTTTAACCAGTAATGGCCTAGCTTTCAATTAGCTGAAATTGTAGTCGAGCAAATTGTTTTCTTTTACACCAATTTCACGTCCATTATATTAACATTCAAACATTCATTTATAAAATAAATCTTCTTTTTCTTGATATTAATAGTTCAAAATAGATTCAACTAAACATACTGTTTTCAAATACATTTATTTGTGTTACACTTTATTATAATTTTATATTTTAATTGGAAGAAAATATAATGTAAATATTTATAATAAAAACTCTTTGTGTCATCATGTTAAATGGATAGATTTATCTTTGTTACTACACCATCACAAAGTGTTGTTGGATGTTGAATGTAAAATTGGTATGTGATATGTGAATAATATAGTACATATGTGCCAAATTGTAACTATAAACTGGTGAAATATTTATATTTAATGAAAGAAAATCTTACCATAAATGTATATTTAATAATTTTTTTATGTCTGTAATTGACTCGCTTTGCAAAAATATTATGCATGGTTTTATCCT